TGCCTACAGACGTTTAAAACAAACCCTTTCTCAGCAAAGAGCGCCCGAACTCTCCATGGAATACGACGTTCACGTAAAAAAGCCGCCATTATAGAAACTTAGGAAACCTGGGGTAGAGTGAAAGTTACAAAGGTCAGTGGGATTCCAGGGGTCTCGAAGGAAAGTTCCGATGAAGTCATCTCGGTATTTTCTTTTGAAAAACAGTTTTGTAGCTGGCTTTAAGATATTCACACGATTGGAAAAAAATACTTTGAATGCTTTCTATGGAAAGTCATACAATAGATCTCAAAATGTAGAAAAAGGGAATTTCTAGCCAACGATGAGTAAGCGTGGACCACACTAATATGAGATCGTTACGGAGCGCGGAAGTTGGGGATTTTGTTATTGTAGAAGCAGCGGAAAAGGCGACTCAACGCTGGCGGGTTAAACGTCTCAATTGTCTCTTCTCGGCTTACCTTGGCCAAGTTTACGGCTCAGGTTCTTGGCGCAGCTCTGACGAATCGCGGGTTTTGGCTACACGTCACTTGTAATGGGAGTCACAAGATCCAATACCGGCTGTCACTCAATAAAGAGACAATCTTGAATAATTAAAAATATTACGTAGAAATTTGCATCAAATGATAATAAGCTGATTCGGTACAAGCAATTGGTGTCTGCTCTTGCTGTAAGTGAACAAAAAAGCAAGGAAATTTCAAACAGCGTACAAAATCTAGAATTGTAGTACATTTGTACCCACCCTCCTACCATTTCAACGTTATCGAACTGAGTGCATGGGTGTCTTCCGGCCGAAAATTAGCGAACATGTTGAGAACAAACCAGGCCTGAGAACGAAAAAAAGGGGAAAGCCATTCCCCTCTATTTCCTAGATCCTTCAGGTTTTATCAGTGCCCCTGTTTTAATCGACTTATTGATCGTAAACTTAGCTATAGACTTGAATAGCGATCGAGTCATGAAATCTCTTCTTTACATATAAAAAAACCGTTTCATTAGTTATTCAGCATGCCTCAGCATGCTACATGTAGTTTCATATCAGAAGATTTTATTCACACATAACACCTGTAAAGTTAAACCCTCAAAATACTGCAATTTGCATGAAATTTAGTTAGCTTTACCTTTTCGAAATGGCTGTATATCTTTGGTTTTCGACAAATTGCGAACTTTCGTAAATCCATTAGCACATTAGATCCTTAGATAAACGATCCCTCAAACTTTACAGCTTTAACAATTATCATTGTCAAATAAAGGATTTGATCGATCAATGCCTCGCACGCGAAGGGGAAGGAAAAACCTTGCACTGCCTAGGAGTTGTTTCTCTCAGAGTACGAGAAGGTTTGGAAACAAACAGCGTCCAAACCGCGTGCAAACCTTCTTAACTCGTGTAAAAGGTTATTTTAAAATCATTTTTAATGTTAATTGACGGAGCTTGTGCTTTTTGGTGCTTTTTATTAGCTTCTTACGTCATTATGAGGCTACTTTTGGGATTTTTTTATTTCGAGTTTATCTTTCTCTAGCCACCAAATTAATTTATAATTGATCTTGAGTCTCGAAACTATAAATGCACGGACCTGGCACAAGGAACAGACTTCCGATAACTGTTTCCAATGGCCTCTTGCCTCTTTTGGGGCGTTTTAGCCATCACTTGGGCTCAGGAGCTAAACGGGTACTCGTAATATTTTTGATACCGTGTGTGCTTCTGATTACACGTGTGTACATCGACCTTCGTTAACATAGGATTCGGTTCGCTGAAAGACCATAATTTCACCAAATCATGTTTTGAAGCATGCCACCTAAAGTGAACAAAATATTTTTCTTTTTGTTTTGTACGTCATTCGTAATTGGGCGATGGTTTGATAAAGGACGTGCGCAATTAAGAATGCACTCGTGTGTTACCTTATCACGCAGTTTCACACATGAGTGACTAAGAGAGAAAAGCAGACAAGATTCTTGGATGTAATGCAGAATAACTATTCGGTAAGGAATGAGAGTTTGTCCCGTGTAGTAAATACACAGTCATGAGCGTGCACAAAAGCGACAAAAGTTTAGATGCTCTATTGAATTTCAATTAAAAAACTTCTACTTAGCAAACTTCATTTGCTAGGAACCCTTCCCCAATCCCCTTCTAGGTTTGATGCGTTAGATCGCCACGAGTGAATGAAGCAAAGAAACTTACACTCAGCCTGAATGTCATGTAACTAGAAGAGTATCCTTTCCGCATATAACGAGAGAGAGAGAGAGAGAGAGAGAGAGAGAGAGAGAGAGAGAGAGAGAGAGAGAGAGAGAGAGAGAGCGGAGCAGTCTGACTTGCATGGCTGTTCACGCACGCAAAATCAGTCAACGGTCGTAAATAGCGGCGAGAGAAAAATTCCATGTAAAAACAAGGCTTGAATGTTTATTTGTAATCAGCTCTACAATTGCAAGATAGCTCTATAATTCAACTTCGATCACCGTTAAAAATCCAAAAGGGGCCCTATACGACGCGGGCAATCTTCTATCGATCACAAAAAAATAGAGCTGAAAGTAAAACTTCTGTAGTAGTGACTTGGTAGTCTGGATAGGGGTGACGAATGCGTCAAGTCCTGGAAATAAAACGTGAGTTAATTTTTTTTATTCATTAAATTTACTATTTATTTGCAACTCCAACAAAAGAAATCTCTACTTGGCCAGTTTGAGTAGGATAAACAGAATTAAACTTTCATTAAGTTTGCATTAAGAAAATACGGATATTTCTATTAAGCTGCTGTTTAGAGCCGACTGTCTTTTAAGCAATCAATTTTAGATCCTTAGGGAACCACGCACAGAACAGAAACTATATAATTTGCAGCGTTTTTGCGTGTGATGTAAGATTAAACTTCTGTAAAATTCAAGTTTTAATATTCTCTTCAAATAAAACCCTTTAATCTATTAAAAAAAAAACAATTTTTTTCACAGATTAACTAAAAGTCTTAAGTAAGAACATCTTGTCATTCTGCTGGATACTCAAATATCAAGACTTAAAACTTCGAAAAGTGAATTAAGAAGTGTTATCATGAAACAGGAAGCAAACTTCGAATCACTGTATTAAACTTATTTACCGACCTCTGACTTTCTGTGTTTCAAGAAGATGAACGATAACTTGCCTAGGCGCTCTGAACATATTTGACAACTTCTTCATCAACTTAAACGACAAAATTTGTATATCTGACGGCTAGGTAAGATAAATATTTTACAACGTTATTTCAACAATTTCATCGTTGTAGAACCACTCATACTCAATGGATTTTTCCGCTTTATGTGGGACTTTAAAGTTCGCTACCCGTCATGTCCACATAATGCAGTCATGCAACAAATAACCTTTATCGCTGATAAAGGCAATGACAATGGTTTGAAGTTTAGTGAGGCTTGAAGGTCGCTGTAATTAGCGCTGACTTTGCTGCTGACCGGAAGTGATCTGCGTTGAAAAACTTTTCTTGTTAAATTTTTGTTTGCTTCTCTATCTGGTAGCAAATATGTATAATCATGTCTTCAACATGAACACAAGGCAAAGATAACGTTGATACCATATCTACAGCCTTCGATTTTTTAGTCCTTTGTCTATGTTATCAGCATGAATAAGATTGTACGAGACGAAGCATTACTTTAAAACTCGACCGAGCACGAAACACTTCCTCTACGTCAGCAGTTTATTTCATTTCCTCCGCGTTAGGATTAATACAAGCACGTCCCTGGTCTTACGAAATCGTCGTTTAAAATTTCTCTGATCTTCGCATCTCTTGCTCTGATCACAATAATTGTTTTATTTTCAGAGAAACTGAGCCCGTTGCTAGGAAAGTTGTTTATCAAAGCAGCTCGTTACCATTTCCGCTTGAGCTCGATTTCACGCACGCGCTGGATCATAAACGGTATAAACAACCTCAAATCTCATAGCAACCCTAAGCCAATCACAACCCTGGATTCGGCGTCTGCTGATAATACGATTAGATCATAGCAACGAATTGACCAATGAAATGGAAGAAAGTTGTTTATAGCTCTTTGTTACTTTGATTAATTCAGGTAGAAGAAAATAATAGCCGGCATCGATGCTCACTCTTCACATTTATTCGTGCCTGCTTGCAACGTGCGAGTGCCTCCACTTGCTATTTAAGAAAGGGAAAATTGCTCCGCCGTGAACGCTGTTTAACGCCGCGATATCTCCATTTTTATCATCACAGTTTCCGACTCACGATAATGCTTTTTACTGTTTCAAAGTGCTCTTACTTAGCAAGCTGATAGATCGCTGTAAAGTTTTGGACACATTGTTCTGTTTAATCAAATTCTACCGGGTGGAACGACTGTTAATCAGTCGGACGGGTTTAGAGTTTTCGAAAACTGATCTTAATCAGCGAGACCCAAGACGCTTTGGCTCATTTAGCATTTTAAACGTTTCGTCACTCATCTACTTCATATTATCCGGTGTGGCAAATCTGATCTACGAACGTGCAAGGAAGAACGCTCACTTACCGTGGAAATCGACATTAAATTCGTTCGATTTGTAACTTGTGGCAACTGGCTCACGGGAAATACAGCAGTCGAGCACATTGACTATCCTAGGATCTAGACTTCATCCACCGATCGCAAAAAGATCTCAAACGGGACAGCTGCCTGTAATATTACATCAGTTACTCGGCACTGAGATATTATGAACAAAAACATGCCGGTTGCAGTGCAGTCATGTGCTGAAAGATTTGCAGCGAACTGGAAGGCTCAGAATCCTACAGATAAAGAAGAAGAACAAACTTCGCTTGACGATAGTTTAACAAATCTTCAATGGCTTCATAGTATTAACATTCAGGACATTGCGCCAACGACTACCTCCATAGCTCCTTCGCCGAGCCCGTCGTCGAATTCGTGCGACTCCGACGATCACAGTGATTCTAGCGATGGATACAAGGACATAAATCGTAAGGAGCCGAATATTGATTACAAAAATGATGCCAACCACAAACCTCCTTACTCTTACGCGACATTAATTTGTATGGCTATGAGAGAAACCAACAAGACCAAGATTACACTGAGTGCAATTTACAAGTGGATCAAAGAAAACTTTATGTATTACAGGGTTGCGGATCCCACTTGGCAGGTAAATAAGAGCAATACTTTAATGTCAAAATTCATTTACCTCGTGAAGGAATAAGTAAAAAGTAGATATGTCCAGTTGTTAATCTGTTTTACGAGAGCCGGCTTTAGTGTTGATGAAGCTCGTTAAGCATATTCATGTATATAATAATGGCCGAAAATTGAAGCGTGAAAAGATTCAAATAAAAGGGCTTTCCTCGAAGTCCTCCCCAATTAATCGTTTGAATTAGTTGGTCAGTTAAGATTATATTTACCCCATTTGGGCAAATTTTATTTTTCCTTGTAGAAACGTGACTCGCATATCATGTCAGATTTCTTTTGTTCAGAAGTATGCGAATTGAATCATAAATTGAATATTAAATATTTTGTTTTTATACTTGGATACCATGGCTTTTTGGTCACTTTACGAAATTCAGAGCAAAGTCGTCGAGGAACAGAATTCACTTATTGTTTCCCTTTTACAAAGACATTTACTCTTCTTGTCAGCATAGATGAGGTTTTTTCGGTTAGCGGCCTTAAATGGATTGTTTTACTAACAGTTTCTTTTCCAGGTTGAAAATTTTGTCAGTACGATTCGTAATCTCTTTACTTTCTTACTTTGATAACAAAACCTGCTTTTCAGTAGCGTAATGTATTCATTGTCGTGGGTGGATTTCACATTTTCCGCTTCGTTCGAAAAGTAAAGAGAAGTCGTTAACTGCCTGAAGACATCAAGATATTGTCTAGGGACAATTGACGGTAAATTGGAGGTAGAAAATTAATTTAGAGCATTTAGATTTAGGAGTGGCTCAACTAAATTTAAGTTTTGGTACCAGAGTGGTTTTTTCATGCAAATTTAAAATGTTTCCGTGTATTTTTCATATAATGCACACCAGGGAATTATTGAGCTTTTGCAAAGAATTTTCCGCATGTTGCTTACGAAGAATGTAAGTTTAAATAAACGCTACAAAAAATGATCTTTACTCATTGGGTGGTAAGAATCGCCTTAAAAACCTTTTTGTTTTTTAATAAATTTGTTGCGCGTGATCCACGGCTTTAAAATTAGTTGAGAAGTTAGCCTTCATTTTTAAAAATACCGTCCACGAGAATTAATTTTACATGATGGGGGCAGCCGTTTGAGAAGACAAGTAAATTATTTTTAAAACTTACAAATGTGATTAGAAAGAATGTTTTGATAAACTCTACACAAAATATTTTCCAATTTCTGCGTCAATTTTGTGTGCCTATCGATTTTCAAAGCGGATGATTCTTTTCGATTTCAAAATAAAATACCCTTTAGTCAAGAAAATTCTCCTTCGAGGTGATAATTGTTGAAGTTACTGATGAAAGTACAAAATGATTTTTCTCCATGCTTGAACTGAAAGCCATTACATCATGATAGCAATATCACAGCAATGCAGTTGTGCATTTCTCAACTGAGAACAACAATATGTGAAACATTATAAAGGAGGTCGTCCTAAGAATAGGAGAAATATACATATCCTGTTAATTATGGAGCAAAGACAATTTGTGTAAAACAGGTATATTAGCATAACAAAGCAGTCTATCACAGTGTTACATGATATTTCAACCCTGACAACTCTAAAATACATTCAGATCTATCCAAAGACCGAATTACCTTCACCAAGCATCATTTATAATATAATCTATCTAATTTCTCTATTATTTGATCTCTTCCTCGCTTATGTGTAAATTCACATTGCAATAACAATGACTGGGCTACATTGCTGTAAATAAGAAAATATTATAACAGTCTGAATATTTCAATTTTTCCCAAACTGGCGTTCATTTGTCGCAAGCTTTGGCCTTAGGAAAAGACTCCAGCAGTTCCTAAACAATGCTAACTGTAATTCTTGTCTAATATTATCCACTTTTTTCTTTCCTTTGGTTTTTACCCCTGGACACCTGCATCTAATATTGAGTTAGTGCTAGGAAAAAAACTTTGCTTCATTTACTCAAACTTGACAAGATAAAATGGTGCAACAAGTTTTACATAGTGCTCTATTTTAAGTCCCTATGGTGAGTGCATAAATGACAACTTGCAGCTGTCAATTGTGCAAATTACCAAATGAAAATGTTAAAAAAAAATAATTTCCCAGTGACACAAATTTGCCTTGATTGAAATGCAAAGTTCTCTTCTTATTCTTTGTCATAGTCCATCTTTTCATATATATTATGTCTTGCGAGAATTAAAAATGAAACCAAACAACATTTTTCCTCGCACAAAAGTATTAGAAAAATTTTCTGTGGAATACCCTCCTAAATGAACATATTTCCAAACATGTTACTCCCTGTGCAACAAGTATTTCACAAAACATAGAATGTCATATAATTCAGAGAGATTTTGACAACAAGGCAAATACTTGGGTGTTAACAATCTTTAATTACACTCAGTCATAATTAGACCATTAAATATGAACATTCATTTGTCCTTTAAAACCGTTGAGGCATTTAAAAGCATAATTATACAAATCAGGAGAATGGAATCAAATAATTTGTTATATATCAATTTTCTCCTAACTTTTTCAGAATTCAATTCGGCACAATCTGTCACTAAACAAGTGCTTCGTAAAGGTAGCCAGGAACAAAAATGAGCCAGGAAAAGGAGGCTTTTGGAAAATAGACCCTGCATATGCTGACATGTTTGTGGATGGTGTGTTTAAACGAAGAAGAGGTGTAAATACACAAAAACCTTCAAAGAAAAGTTCCTCAAAACAATGTAAGAAGACTACATCAAAAAGATCAGCAGATTGTCTTACAAGTCCACTTGATGATGACAATGAACCCTGTGACAGAAAGAAATATAAACCTGTAAAAATAAAGATTGAAAGGGATGATGATGATGACTTTTTTAGTGAGGAGGAAGTTGCACCTTTTTCTGGTGGAATAAAGGAAGAGTTTAGTTGGATGACAGTGTTAACAAACGATGAAATTGATGAAAGTATACGAGAGATTGCAGATGCCCATGGAATTTCATTTGAGTCAAGTTCAATTCCAGCAACAGGCCTGTGTGGATTAAGCACACCTGTTTACTTGAGCCCCCCACCATCAACAGACAGTACAACCAATGACAGCTTCCAAGTGGATCCTGAACTGGACTTGACAATAAGGGGAGTGGGACTGTTACCACCCCGTGAAAACCTGGCAACACCGTCACCAACCACCTTAACGGATGCTACACACTCTGTTTTTAACATGCCACCCTCTCCTCCCTTGATGTATGAAGAAGACCACCCTTGGGCAGAAACAAGCAATGACCTTGTTGACTGTTTTGAGTTAGATGACAACAACAACAACAGCATTTGGTAAATGAACTCAATGTTTTTTGGTCCAGGAGAAACTTATTTTGTTTGACTTGGAATATTCTGTGGGAGAGAAAGGAAACAAATTGTGTTAAAGTATTTAAAAATGTATTGAGTTCCTTTTAATTCTCAGACTGGAGACTGGCAAAAAAATATCAGTCTAGATTGAAGACTAACTTCTTCCCAACAGAATGATTTAAAAGGAATGAGAAGCAGTAAGGAGAGTCACACTGCCAATCTTAAGAACCCAAGAGAGATTTTTATAAGTGTCATTTTACATCAAGTAACCAGAGAGAGATATTACTCAGATTCAAAGTTAAAAGTTCTATGATTGGAAGTCTTAGTTTCTATTACAAAATTATGGATTGCATGACAAATTTTCTAAAGTTGCAATTGGCTCACTTTCACTTTATGAAAAGAGAATATTGAACTTACAGTGTAATCTAAAGGAGTTTGTTAACTCAAGGAGTATGTATTTTCCATGAAATGAAAATTCTCTAAAGGGAATATCTTTGTATCATTACAGTCACAAAAATAATTGATATTTTAAGTTATTATTAAAGAATGTTGCTTGTAAAGCTGCAGTATTTTTGAAGGTTTGCATAGAGAATGTTTAATTATTATTAATTCAATTTAGGTATTACCTTGCTGTTCGTGTATATTAGACACATAGGGTTGAAAAATTAATTTATAGCTTTCAACTGCTATATCATTTACCTCCATTGGAAGGCAAGTGTTGGTAATAGTCTTGATGGTCTATTACAAACAGTAGTAAGTATCGCTAAACAGTTTAAGAGGTACAAGTCAAACTACTGTATAAATCCAAAGATATGGATGTGTGTACATAAACACTTGAAAAAAGCTATAGGGAAATCTACCTGAAATATTTATGAAATCATCATGTAATCTGGCGTTTGAAGACTACAATGCAAACTGATAGCCATTTTAATTATAGAAAGATTACACTTAAATGAGAAACCATATAGTAGTTTTTAGAGGTACATCTGAATTCACAAATCAGCCTTATTAAGGTACCCTGTAGTTAAATAGGATCAGCAAAACTAGATTAGTGGAGTTCAATAAGGATAAAGGCATAGTACAGCTTCTTAAACTAAAGATTTCAAAACTTGGCATGCTCATATTTTTTGTCCAAAAAAATATGGGTTATACTTAATTTTAGAAAATTTCAGCATACCTTTCTAGTGAGTTCTCTAAATACACTCTGTTCAAAAAGTATAGTAAATACAGAAAACTAGTAAGAAATATTTTAAAATCCAATTTCCAAAGAGATTGCTGCCCTAAATTATTTAAGGATACGTAAGTGTCACACTGAACTTGCTTAGGTTTGTAATATATACATACTTGAGTGTACTACAACAACTGTGTGTTTCTTATCAATGTGTGAGAATGTTTGAATAAAAACTACGAGTGTGAATTTTGACTGATAGCTGAGGATGTTGTCTATCTATTGCTGACTCCCTCTCCCTATATTTATAAGCATAAAAGATGAAGCAGGTACAAATCCAAAACTTTGCAAAACACTTTTAGTCATCATAAATTGCCACATGCAGAGTAGCTTATACAACTTTGTTTATTGCATGCTAGACAACATCACCCTCTAACACTCCACTGTACATCCTATATGCACATCACTTGAAACACGTTTCCGTGGTTTATAATGCTGACATATTATCACTTCTAATACTGGACAGATCATTCCAAAAACTGTTACAGACAAATCAAACTTAAAGTTTTTCAAAGTATTGAGAAAGTTATAATGTTTTATGAAACTACTGAGAAAGTGCAACACAAAAATCCTGTAATGTAATAGTTTCATTCATTTATCATTGACCAATCAGTAACAAGACATTCTGTTGAGTGTATAACAAAACTTTGATTACTGTGGGTCTGAATTACATGTCACAGTCATTCAAGTTCAACAATACTTTTATTTACAAGGGAAGTAACAAACTACTTAATACGTTGGTGTCATTTCAACTTTAGTGAACACATCCAAATATTTGATACATCAATTCATTACTGTTGTGAAATTAATTCTGACACCTATACATCTATTTAACAAATAGATTCCAAGTTGCAGTGCATCTGTTCAGTAATAGATCACAGATGATGTCAAAATGTGGTAAGAACAAAAAAGTGGCACACGAGGCACAGCCAAGTGTGTCACTGATATTCTTACCACATTTTGATGTCCTCTGTGATCTATTACTGAACAGATGCACGGCAACTTGGAATCTATTTGTTTTATATAAAAAAGAATTAAAAAAAGTTTCAATGATGACATCATCTATATGTCTGTCCTCCAACAGATCATAAGTGAGAACCAATCAGAATGAGTGCATAACTGAGCTTATTATATAAATATATATCTCTCTCTCCATGATATATACATATATAATTTGAATAAACAAAGAATATTCAGAAAAGAAAACTTATGGATACTTGTTATACTTATCAAAGAAAAAGAGACTTATAATAATCCTTCTAAGGAGCCACATATAAATTCTGTTTTCTTTTCTCAACAAATAAATGTAGCTTGTTCTTCACTGTACTAAAAGTACCCCTAGCTTATTATAACTAAATTGCTATGTTCTGCTTCTGAAGTAACACTAGTTTATTATAAATGGAGGGAAAGATACTAAACAAACCTTGATTAAAAATGTAAGAAACAATTTATCAACAATAATCCTAGATAATACTAGGAATTAAAAATTGTTAAAACTATACTGTTGTATTATAATGATGTATAGATTGTAGTATTTGCATCACATATGTATTGTCTATGGGCAAAATCATAAAAATTTGAAATTGAAATGCTATTTAGTTCTGCTCCTATTCAATTAAATGTTTTATTTTTTGTCTAAAAGGTATTAATAAAAACAAATAGTCCTATTGATAACTGTGTCAGTTCAAATTTATAAACAAGGGTTACAACTTAAGGGCTAATAGGTCTGGAGTAATAAATAAATTGAACTGAAAAGCTTCCCTATCTTTTTGATCAAAGTTACATATCTGATGTCGAAGAACTTGATTTTGTTGTGATGGCAGGTCTTAACTTTGCAATACAGACAGACTGTTAACAGCAAAATCCCACACCTACAGACCAGAAAAATAATTTACATAAAAGAAACAAGTGGGTATTAATAAAAAATTGAGAATGAAGGATTGTGTATGATAGAGACAAAAATGATCTATGGAAGATTATAACAGGAATGATGAAAATAACAACTTAGATTAGCCACCACAAAAAGTCTCAAAGCTGAAATTTAGAGCATTAGTCCTTTGCTCTGACAAAGGAATAATGCTCGAAACATCAGCACTAAGACTCTTTAAGGAGGACAATTTACATTATCAGCTCAATAATGATAATACTAAATTACCCTGTTATACTCTCTCACTAACACAGATCCACAGTTTCTTTAGAAACTTACCCCCTTTATTCATTTGATGGAAATAATAATGATGAGAACAAACTAAGATAAAAAGCTTCTGAGTTAATGCTAGACAAAAAATTACCATGATGATAATAGATTACCTTGATCTCTCCAGAAGAGTCACCACTAATAACCCACTGATCATTGAATGTAACACAGGAGACTCCAGAAGTATGATCTCCAGGAAGGGTTAACTGACAATCACCATTTTCTAAGGACCAAACCTATATTTACCGAAAAAATTGTCTGAATGGCTAGAACAAAAATGAACAAAGGTTATAATCATGATGTTCTTTACAAGTGGCTGGTCCTGACTAAAAATGAAGTCTGTAAATAAAGTTTGTAAACTTAAGAAAAATGTTCCTGAAGTTGTTTATGACTGGTTGGGCATGAAGTTAGAATCTTTAAACATCAAAAATGGTTGAATTTCCCAGTGGTTTATTTACTAATATCCACAAATGGAAATGGCTTTCTCTAATACTACTCTGACCCCAAAATTGATGTTATCTGTGATGCATCACTGAACAGATGCAACACGGAACATCTTACAGTACCCAATTAGACCAAAAATCACCAGCACTTGAAATTTAGAAAGAAGAAACATGGTTAATGAATGCTCAATATATCAAAATGCACACATGTTACCTTAACAGTTCTGTCATTTGATCCACTAACAACCTTATGCATATCTACATCTGTACACGTCACAGCACCTGACCAGCATTATTGTTAATAATAACAATAATTAGTTAAGAGTTACACTCTTCCATCATTGTAGTTAAATGTTACACTCTTCCATCATTTAACAACTTATCATAAGCTTAACTAAATAGTATTCACACAAAAGCTAAGTCACTGGGTGTGGAATTGGGTTTTAGCCAAGTTTGTAATAACTTAAAGTTAAGATGATTTCTAAGTTTACTTAAGGTTTACCAATGTCCAGTGCAATAAAGTATTACAAATACCTGTGTGTCCAAATAGAATGTGCCTAGAACATTGAGTAGCAGTGTCCCAAAGTGTAATAGTGTTGTCATTTTGTCCAGAAGTGACCAGTTTTGTACAAGGACTGATGGACAGGCAAGATACAGATGTTCTGGAGCCCATTTGCTGTAAAGAGAGACAACAATCCATTGTTATAAAATATAACTTGAGGGTGAGCTTAGCAACTGGTTAAAACAATAACTTGCCAGTGATGTTTGCCAATTAAAAAATCAGCTTTTTTTTTCAGAGATAACTTCTTACCTCTTTTTGTATTCCTGTCCATGTTTGTATTTTGGCTGTTACACAATCTTCTTCATCATCAACAGATTCTTCAACAGAGGGGAATATAACTATTATAATTAAGCAATTATTGTCTATGAATAACAGTGACTCAAAATTAAGAATAAAAAGAGAAGAAAAGGACTCTTGGATGTCAAACCATATTATATCATGAATTGTATTACCTTCCTCAAAAGTGACTCCAGGATCTTCCTCAATGAGTGAATGACCTTGAAATCTTACAGTCTGATGAAAATCATCGCAAGTAAATTTTTTAAAGGATACAAAACATTTACCAGTGCTCATTTATCCCACATTTCACAAGATCAGCCATGAAATTACTTTTTAAAAAACCAAAATGTAAAAAAATTGACCCTACGTACTTTCCTCTGCTCTGCTTTATTGCCACAGAAGCTGGGCTATTGCCTTATGAATTTCCTTTAAGCTTTTTAACTCTTAATTGCAAATAAAAAAGTGTTTTTCCTCTTTCTCTGTAGGGTACCATTCAGTAGGTTTAGAGTAATAAGGTTCACTATCTATCCCTCTTTTCTGTTATCTGTTGCATAAAACTCCTGAAGAATTTGCACAGAGTCTCCTCTACATACTTTTCAATACTTTAACATAGCTGTTTTGAGAAGCCATAGACTTTCAGACTTTCAGCAAGTTATTTGTGCTTTGTTGAGTGTTTTTGTTCCTAACGTTCTCCTTCAAACACTGATTGGGCAGAGGCAGAATGTTCCTACTTATTGCCATCTGCTTGCCATTTTTCTGCTCTACTTTTTGCAACTTTCTTGTCAATCTATTTAATTTTGACTTCTTGTACTGTTTGGGATTAATTAACATGTTCTCTATAAATGACCAAAGTGGAAAATTTCCACATGTATCACTGAATAGGTCCATAGCTTATTGATCCCTGATAATTCATAATTAATAGAAGATTCACAATTGTGCCATGAAAGTGAGATGGTAGACAGGCAAGAGGGTCTGTAACCCTATGTTCAAAATAACAGTTGAGAGCAATTAAAAATTTCCTTGTACCTGAAAACCAATGAGATTCCAGTTTTCTAGAACTTCTGCAGCATGTGAAATGGACACAGACCAGACATCATTCCCTCCATTCTTCAGTTGAATGTCTAGAACAGAACACCTAAAGGTGAAAAGAAAACAAGAACATAACTAAGTTGTAATTAGCTTTAAGTTCAAATGTTTCTAAATCAATATGAATTGTACTTTACCAATATAGAGCAAGTGACATGTTATCATGAAGGAAAAGAAATGCTACAATTTTGCTGAATCTAAGTATCATTTAAGTCTAAACCATAACTTTTTCTTTAATCATAGGACATGTCAATGGCACAACAATTGCCTGTCTTTAATTACTCTTAATTAGAAAAATTTCAAGAAAAAGCCTATGATTTAAAAAAAGGGGTGTTTAAAGACATCCCAGAGACTTCTTTCTCAAGATGATACTTCAATATTTACCTTGGTTTAAAGGTTGCAAGGGTATGCAAACAAGTACAAGATATTGGTCCCAGCTGATTAAGATCCAAGTGCCACACTTTGACAACACACTGAGAAGTAACAGTAGCAAGTTTATTATCCACCAGATTGACCCGACACACAGCCATAGCAGGTGGGAAACCAGTATCTCTTGGACTCTCTATTTGATCCCTTGCCACTTCTGTTATATTTGTTCTGCTTAGAATAATCCTTCTCTTGTGGAAGTCCCAAAGAATGAACTAGGAAACAATAAGTTTCAATTTTTAAATTTAGTTATATAGCATGACTGATATTTTAAACATGTACTGGGAAGACAGAATAATTCCATTAAAGTTATGCTTACAGTCTTTCATTCAAAAGGTTATTACAAAACTTTATCTTTTATCTCAAATAAAACATATTCTTACCTTGTTTCTATAGAGACCAATAGCCAGAAGGTTTTGTGAGCGTTCATTTCCAAAGTCTACACAACCAATAACACTTTCACACTGTACAACATGAAGAGACTTCTTGTGAATCAAACTCCACATATGAACCAACTTTGAGTCTTGGTTGACGCTTGCTAAAACACTCCCACCACAGTTTGATATTTTCAAGCACACAACTTTGGTGGGTTCAGTTTTTTCTTGGTTCATTGCCTTTTTATGAAGACTTTGAACATGACAGTGTCCACTTAACCAGTTTGACCGAGTAATAAACAATTCTTTCCACTGGGTTGGAAACAAATTCTTATAGTAGGAAGAATCAGAAATGAATTTGTCAAATGATTCTATAAACAACTTTTTCCATCTGTAAATAAACGGGTAGTTGTTTATTAAGGAAAGTGCAGCCTTTTATTACTTTGGTTAATGAGTATAGACTACGAAGGTAGGATAAAGTGACCTGTCCTAAAGTTAAATAGTAACCTTGACTACGATATAAGCTTAAAAAATACGTCAAGTAAATCGATAATAAGTGAAAACAGATTTACGCGAAACAACAGAAGAAGTGTTTCGCCATCTTGTGCTTGTCTGAAGCGTTAAATGCCCAGCTGTTCCTGAACTGAGAAATAAACCTCGGAAAGGATACAAATGAAAATCGTCTGAAAGACGACACCAACTAGAGCACACCTAAAGTAAAACAATAATCACGGTACATGTTCAACATCTCCGATAAATTTAAACTTTCAGTGAGAGACACCGTATGCTGGAAATATCAAACAACTAACCATATTTCTCACCTGGGAGCACCTACAAAGATCTCGAGCAGATAAGAAACTAAAAATCCTTACTAAGATTTCATCACTTAACTTTTCCATCCCGATTATTTTAATAAGGATTACGAAAGTACCGCTTTACACCAAAACATCGAATGTCACAGTCTGAGCAGCCATGTTCTTGTTTACGAAACATAATGGAGTAGTACTGGAATAAACTTGTTCCCAGGGACTTATCATTATTTGGCGGCTCTAGAGTCTGTTACTACCGCGTGCGATCCTTTTAGAAATATGATTTTTTTTTCTCTTTCTTTCCACTGATTAGCTACTCTCACATGAAATTACATTAGTGTGTATTTTCAAAGATTCACGAAAATGAAGCTAAAATAACTTAACATGACTCTGAAACCCACTGATATTCTTATATTGAGTTTATTAATCGTGTTAAAATGGTTATTAATTCTCTGATCAGATTTTCGCTCCCTGACGAAATGGGATAATTTTTCACAGAACTATTTTATTGCAGGAAATATAGTCCGTCCGGAATACATCATCTTTTGATCTGACCACTGAATGCTGAAACTTACGACAAATTAACAAAATAAAAGATACACTTTTCCATAGAGGATTACTAATCAAGAAAAATGATCGCTTTTTCTCTGTGGCAAGCACATTTGTAATGCCTCTAAACAAAGAAATGTTTGAAGTTTATGTTTCATCGAGAATCGACAATTGTGAGTGAAAATGGGCGTGCGATTAATTGACAGAAAGCCGGAAAATGCTTTCATCGTGTAATCTCACAGTTTGCCATTCCTTGGAAAGCAGAACAATGATGGTCTTTCGGGGACAACAAAAAAAGCTGCAACTATTGGCTAATTATCTAAATGATCTCACAAGGAAGGCGACAGATCTTTTAGTTCAGGGCATGACAGTTGTCGCTGGAAGATGTTCGAACGTGATGACCAAAACGGATCTAAAAACACAGCAAAAAGACCAAGGCCGATTAAACAAAAAACGCACTCAGCTGTTTATGGAGAACTCACAAGAAAGATCAGTCCTCATCTTTATAGTTGGTTTCTTTTCTCTGATATTCGCTATAATTCTGCTTTGCTTTTGCCTTTTTACTCTGTACAATTGTTTTTATGGGAGAATGATGAGAAAACACTCAGAAAGGAAAGATTCAGAGCAGACCCAAAGTACAGATATTGAAATCAACGGCCAGTTGCTTCAGTCCGCTGGGGATAATGAAGAACTCCTTCCTTTCAGACACGAAACCAGAACTACTGAAACAACCGGACTTTAACTTAAACAGAAGAATTTATATCAGGAAGAACACCACATACGACAGTACGCGGTGAAAAGCAAACTAGAACACTTAATAATACAGTCAAAGTTTAGATTGTTCTCACTTTAATCATATCAAGTGATGGACTGATACATACGTAACATGGAGTTGCTATACTGACTCGCATTCAACTCAACTCACTCAAGAGTCATTTATCCAGTAAAACCAGGAACTATACGATAAATCGTGAAAACAGGAGAATCTTTGTACAGAATAATTCGAAATTTTCGCTTCGATGTAGCATAAAAGAATGGTTGAACTCTTTCATCATCTTTAATGTGACACAATTTTATGATAAACTGCTGATAGTCTGGTCTGTCAAGAAGCTGTCTTGATGACCACAGTTCCTTTACTTGATGGACTTATTACCTTTAGAAATTGCTAGACATCTAAATCATTGCTTACAATATCAAAAAATAGTTTGTCTGTGGATCAGTGGGGATTTAGTTAGAATCAATTTAACTTACTCAACATATTCTATGGTAAGACTTCTCTTTCACAGGCATGTAACGATTATACACCAGTGAAACAGAACCTGAATGAGGAGGACATTCCTTCTACTTTGTTTCGAACTTAGGTCTCCTAGGTAGACCATTTAAAGCTGAAACTTCCAGAGAAATCTCCAGAGGGGAATGAACTTAAAACACAAACAAAGTTCCTTTTCCCCTTTTTAACAAGCTTGGTTTGGTTTTCGTACTCTATTTTCTTTGAGAAAACAACAATCTGAAAAGAAGGTTTGCTTTTCAATTTATTTTAAACCTTTCACTCCTGGGAGGGACCGAAGAGTAATTTCTCAAAGACAGGTGACGAGATTTAAGAAAAATACCGACTATAGACTTCGAGAAGTGAAAAAAAGAAGTTTAGTGATAAGAAAACAGACAAGAATCTTCAAAGAAATATCCTCCAAAACTTTTGATCATGATTATTAAGTATACAGTGAATAGCTAGATCCCAGACCTCTCCACTCATACAGTTTGATATGGACAGCCCTGAGAACGAGAGAGTTAACCCTCCAACCCAAAGGTATTTCAATTTAAATTCAGTTTCGTTTTGAGCATGCACGACTCTAGTACAAATTAAGATTTTTCACATAAGCGCCGGTGAATGGCGTCTTATACATCAATAATTTTTCTTATATTGTGTGGAGTTTTCTTGCTGATTTTCCTTTCGTCTCTCATCTTCCTGCTGTACCTATGCTTCCGTCGAGTGTACATTGCTAAAATCCGCTTTGAAATCGTTGACGTGGAGGGAAAGCAGGGAAATAATCAAGTTAATAACCACCATTCAGGGCTTTGGAACGAAACAAGTACAGCGACATGTGCCATGAAGAATGATTGTCACAGTTCTTCAGCCATGATGGAATCCACGACAGTGGTAAATAAGGAACATGTACGGTTTACAATTCTTTAGCGAAACTTTTCTCTTCTGCTCATTACAATTGATATCCAGGGTTTGTGGAGTACAACGAGGAGTCGAGGAGAGCAGCTGGCGTTGATTTATTGTTATTAAAAATAATGTATACGGGTTTATGAGTGGATGTGACGTTATTTAATGAGATACTCGGGAAAGAGGAGGCGTTGTGAAGAGATACTCACAGATAACATCAATATACAACTGGTGATGTTATCATAAGTACACATTTCTCTCATCGCAGAATAACACACAGACGCACGTTGTCTGATGCGAAATCAAGGCACTGAATGAAGCTCAGGGAATATCAGAATATCAGAAACTATTCAATTTCTTCAGTTTAGCTGAAGATGAAGAGGCAGCTGTGTTGGTTAATAATTGAAAAAAGGGATTAACACTTCATTTATATAAAAATCAAATAATCAGACCTCAGAAAAACTGATTTTCAATTTCTAGCTTTGTACTACTTAATTAAAAAAAGGATACCTGTCACAGTCTCTCAAGTAATTGATTTTTTTCCCTAGCGCTTTAAGCACGCCACGAATGCCGCATGCAGATTTATTTCTCAAAAGCTAGACGGTAGCAGTTTCCAGATATTATAGGCCATACCTTTCCTCACCGTCAGACAACGGAAAAAATTTGAGTGTCCTATGCGGAAACGAATATCGGAAATTCGAGTTTCGCAGTCGAATGCTCTACTACTAAGCTAGTATATGCATGATCCCGCTGGACTGACTGTCTAGTACACATTAGCTGCTCATTGGTAGAGTATAACATTGTGATATTCGTTGGTCTTGGGGTCGATTCCTGGTAGGGAACTCAGATTCCATTCTTTGTCCCACAGCCGTAACAATACGGATGATATCCAAATTCATTCGAAGACCAAGCTCCAAGTTTACTATCTTTCCTTAAAATTAAAATATGAGGATTTTTTTTATATTTACATAGGATACCCCTAATATTGACGAGCTGAAATAAAAAAAATATAATCACAAATGAAAAAACGGACTTTATACGGATTTCACGTATGTAAATGTAATTTTGCGCCCAATATGAGTTTTTAATGATATAATTAAGATGTGTTATTCGGTCCACGGAGGCCATCTGTTCTTTTTTCTTCCACTTGTGACCTTTCTGTGTTACATGATTACGCATCCTTTGTTAATTCTCTTCTTTCTTTGCCATGTTGAGCTTGTCGTGCATGGAATTGCATTTCGTTTTCAGTAGATACTAAACATATATATTTTTCATTGGACTTCAACAATTCGAGATTTTTGAAGTCCGACAAGAAATACTTTTGACAAGCAGAAATTAAACGTACATATGGGGTTATTGAAATCTGCAGCTTCCAGCTGGTTAGTAATATTATTGTTCCGTGTGTCAATTTGGACCTATATACATTTAATTTGTCTTAAAGATCCCGACCGAGGAAAAAAATAAATTCTTGTCTCTTTATTCGCTTTAAGAGAGAATTAAATAAGAAACAAATTCCCAGTCAGAGCTCAAATCAAAATTCAACTTAACTGACGACTGCTGCCTTTAAACTGAAAATCGATTCAAGGCTAATGTAGCTCGGTGCCAGTGAGGAATAAATTTAAATAAGTTAAATTGCTTTAAAAAAAAATAAGACATGACGAACGATCTAAAGTACGAATTATCTCTGCTTGGTATACACTCGTAGCAAATCAGTTAACATCTTTCTCCATGAATCTTTTGTCGAGCGAAACATTTCAGTTTTAATACTATCTCCTACAAAAATAAAATCAAGAGAAATCTCCGCTAAGGGTTTGATGCAACGGACAACTTCCGTCTCAACTCAGCACTTGGCATCAAAAGTGTTTCTCGTGCCCGCAGTTCTGAACTTGATGACCCTCAGGGGTTGTAATTGACTACGTAGATGGCGGTTCTCATATTCTTTAATGGTTTCTTGTGCTAAAACACATCAAAGGAAACAACCGACAAAAAATTAGGTTAGCACACCGTGAAATATTCCCATAAATTGCCCTGTCGCTTAAAAATGGAAGGTTTTCCCACAAAGGTTAAACTTCAAGACGACGGACAAACATAGCGTAGCCGTGACCGGAAAAATATCTTATACGGAATCTGTGGCGCAAAATAGAAAGAGCAACTTAGCTAAACAAAAAAATTCATATCAGACTTTATGGGTCAATTGATTTACAGACGACCTCATTAAGAGTTTATGTCCCTTTTTATGAAGTATCAGTCCGCTTTTCATTTAACATTTTCAGAGTGTAGAACGCTATTGATGTACCATAGAACCAGGAACTGATCAGTCTTGCCACCTGCCTTGACAAGTTGCATTGAAAAACTGCCAACGTAAAATTCGTGGAAATGAAGAAGTATATTTAATAATGTGCGATGATAGAGGTCTTTTAGTTTCCACAAAGAGGGCGGCCGGCAATGTTGCAACAGTGTTTGAAAAAAAAAAAGTTTTCTTTTTCAGTTTTTAGTTGCAGAAAAATAACGATATCGAAGAGCACTGTTCCAAAGCTACGCGATATGACTCCTATGATGACAAATAACATGCGCTGTATCATATCATTGGCTCAATCTTCTGTTATGTGCATTGAGATTGTCATGATAACTTACGAAATAGAAATCAAAAGGACTTGCTCCACAATCCGGTTTATTCATTTCCATTCCCTCTACAACCCTAGATTGTGTTTACGATGTCAGTAGCTTTCCCAACTCAACAAATTCCTTGTAGTTCTGGATTACATACACTCTAGTCTCCCACAACATTTTCACCAAAATACGGTCGTCAGTCTCGTCCAGCCCAACATCAGATGACATCGGAGAACTGAACCGATAGTAAGGAGTGCCAAGCATCTGGCACCAGGCCCTCGCACGTTCAACAACCGGGCCATGAGTAGCAGTAGCCTAAAAACAAGGTGCATGTCGGATATTAGCGTTCAGTACCCCTAACGGTCAGGATAATCAGCTATCAGAGGGAATTGATACTAAAGGGCACGCTATGGTCTAACCGGAAATCCTTTTTGAGCGATATTTTTTTGGCGAGTCACAGCTCATTAGACCCAGTCCATGGACGTGTTGATACAGCTGTAGTATTTACCTGATCAACCAGCAATTCTCCTAAAGCACGAGCTCCCATGAGGACATTGGTTGCGTCCCAAATGGATTCTGGTTTGAATACGTCAAATGACTGGACATGCATTGGTGGCGGGACACCAGTCCCGAGGGACACGACAAGTCCAAACGAGCAGGCAGTGTCACCTCGTACCAAACGATTGTATTTATGAATGTCTGTTAGAGCGTCAAGGGTTGGGTTGTTAGCAATCAATCCACCATCCAAGAACGGACCCATAGCACGGAAAAACGACGGAGCAGCACCAGTCCCTCTCGCTGCTCGCCACACCAGCTGGTCTATGAAAGAGTAAATTAATTGAACTCGCCGACTGGTGCTGTCCTAAGAGACTTTTTTGCGCTTTATTGTAATTATGCCTACCAATGCACACATTGCAAGCGAGCAAGCGAAAAACATTGAACACACTGCCAGCTCACCTGAGGGTTTAGGTGGCAGTGAAAACCGAGAAATTGATTGAGCAGCATCCCAGTCTTCATCAGGTACGTCAAAATTGCGGAAGAAGTGTAGACTGGCAGGTCTGCGATCCGCCAAAACTCCCGTAACCAGCACTCTGTAGGGAGAAAACTTTGTAAGCTGCGAATGTTGTTACAGACATATTTGAGGAAATGCTACAAAGATAGATAGATAGATAGATAGATAGACAGACAGACAGACAGACAGACAGACAGACAGACAGATAGATAGATAGATAGTTTAATAGGAGTAACTACGTCGCAGCCAAAGGCTGAATTGAATAATTATTTACAATATAAATATAGTAAAATTAAAACTAGGGCAATTTACAAAGGGTCTCTATATAAATAAAGTGCTCTGTACAAGTTGCTGGCTACGAGCACTGCAGTTTACAAAACATTGCTATTTACTCGTGTGATGACTAGGAGTTTATAAGGAATTCGCATAAGGAACAAGAAAGCACCACAGTACACCATTAAAAATATAACCTCAATGATCGACGAGTGAATAAATGTTTTCATTAAGACAATTTGAAGGGTCACTTTTCCCACCTAAAGCAATGTTTCCGAATACCTTGGGTGAAGTACTGATGTCATCTTGACGCTTTCTCCAAATTCCTGTTTGAGAAATTTCTCAAGTGGTTCTGAGTCATAAGGCCGTTGACCTTCGAAAACCAAGTCTTTCATTCTGAAATATAGGCCCTGACAATATCGCGCGGACTTGCCTGAAAATTACAGTAGTCAAAGGGGTTTGTTCTTAGAAAACACTTGTTAGCATGTTGGTTCAACAAACATATAAAGATACTCCGGCGTCAAAAGGTAGCTAAACAACAAAACATAACTAAGAAATCAACCAGGAAACATATATTGCTAGCAACTCCATACGACATTGGTTTGATTCAATGCAAGTTGAATTTGGACTTCTGAAACTATTCATCAACTTTACAGCCCTCAACTTAGAAGACATTATTACTACTTGCCATGCGTTATAGCCAGCGCTAGTATTCCCCCTGTGCTTGTCCCTGCTATCCAATCAAACAATTGAATAATTGGCTGCTTTGTGAATTCCTCCAAGGCCAGTAGAAGCTGTATGAGTATAAGCCCTCTGATTCCTCCTCCATCCATGGAAAGGATGGCTTCTTTTTTGTGGCGGGACTTGAAGATTGATTCTTTGTGGGGTCCCTTTCTTGGGGCATCAACTGAGTCTTGGTAAGACCTTGATTGCGGTAGTACGGAAGCCACTGCAGCAGCTGAAAGCTTAATGATGTCATAGTAACCAGGTAATCTTTCTGCTGCTTTCACTGGAGTTCCACCTTCAAAAAAATAGTGAGTGTAGGTCAATTACAGTCTTACTTTGCCAGAAATGAAAAAGGCTATCTATTCATTCTACTTACCAATTGTAATTTCTCCTTGGAATGGTTTGTTGCACTCCAAAGTGCATCTACTCTTGCTCTTATCGCAAGCTGCTGCACCCACAAACCCAAGAGCATGTACAACTTCCTGCCAGCCATGCTGACGTACGACAGTGGCCACATGTCTTGGTGTTTCGTATCTCTTATTTGTGATGTTAACATTTGCACCAAACACAATCAGGGCACGCACTATATCCACATCCTGAACCTATATTTATGAGATGTATTGAAAATGTGCCCATTAAATGTAAAACTGAAAGGTGAATATTTCGTGAAAGAAAGAGAGGATTTTTTTTGTGTTTTCAGGTTAATACTGAGAGAGTTGGGAGAGTTTAGGGAGAATTCCAAAAAGTTATGTAAACTTGAGACAAGGTTGAGGGTTTGCATTTTTTATTCAACCTCCATTAACAGAATATTATAGCTTGACACTTACCATTGCTGCTTGATGTAGTGGAGTTGAACCATCTTTGCTTTGTGAATTAACTTCAGCTCCTCGGCTCAACAGTGCTATGGTACAATCCAGACTTTTGTGGCGAGCCATGATATGTAGTGGTGTTTCGCCATCATGGTTATGTGCTTCTATATCTGCTCCACTGTCAAGGAGAAGCTCAACCGCCTTTAAAGAAACAAGTAATAATAACCAACTTTGTGATTTATTCCCATTATGATTGCAGTAAATTGTGAGCTAGATCTGTGGAGTCTAAATCAATTACCATAGAACATTCCTAAATAGCACCCTGACTCATTAAGAAAAGTTTTAAATTAAAGTAGCTAATCTCCAATGTTTCAAAATATATGTTTCAGGAACTCCTGCACAGCTCTGCAGATGATCCAGGGGCAGCACGTGATCCCAACATCAAGGGACAAATTATCCTGTTAAAAAACTTATACTGCATACATCATTTCCAAAGTTCTAAAAAAAACCCCTCTCACAATAACAACAACAAAAAAGCTCCACATAAACCTCACTGAAGAAGAAATTTCAGAGAGAAAAAGGGATTTTTTTTGTTTGGTCACAAGAATTTGGAAAGGCCCACTAATGGCTGTAGGTGTTTGGTCATGAGAATATATGAAAATATTTGTAGAGCTGTACAAGGCTAGTAGGGGTTTTACCTCTTTGGTCTTGGCCCAGTGTAGGGGTGTACCTCCATATTTGCTATCTCGGACATTGACCTGTTCAGGGTGAAACTCCAAAAGTGTGGCAACACAGGAATCACTTTTGGCATCAACAGCAATATGGATGGGATGACAGCCATTGTGCGATTTGTCAGGGTCAGCACCAGCTTCTAGCAACATTTGTACACTGTCACCCTGGGAGTATCGACAGGCAATGTCCAGAGGTGATTGGTTGCTAGAGTTAGTTGTGTTCACAACTTCTGCAAGCTGATTACCTAAAAAATTGGCAATTAATGTGTCATTGCTAGGTCAGAGATAATATTACTTTTAAAAAGGCCTTGCTCTTTTATCCAAACAACCAGACTTGAGAAAAACTGTCTAAAGGATTATCATGTTTGAGTGAGAGGCCAGAGATAATGCCTCAAAAACGACCCAACCCTATTATCCAACCAAGAAACTTGCAAAATAATTGTTCAAAGGGTGATCAAGAGTCCCACAACTAATCAAGCTGCAACAACTTATTAGCACCATTCAGACTAATGAATTAATAAAGTATTTATAATAATAATTAAAAATTACTTGTAACTGAGGAGCCCAACACTCATTGTCCTAAGTAAACATCACCAATAGAAAGTAAAGACAAGAAAAATTATGAAAAAACAAAATTGTACAAATTTGATATTTCTTTTCATTGTTAACATAGTAGACAATGGTAGGTACCTAGTTCTTTGGCCTTTTTCAGAAAAGAGTCTAGAATCTCAGGGTAACGTTCAGCAGCGTAGTGAAGTGGTGTGTTGCCCGACTTGTCTTTCACAAGGAGTCTAGGATCATGCTCCATTAAAGTTTGCACAAAGTCCAGCTTTCCACTCTGTACAAAAGATACAGTTCAATACTAAGCTGTGTTTTCAATCTCTTCATCACAGAAGGGGGATCCATCTTGTAGGGAACAAAGAGAAACAAGAGAAACAGGAATATGTATAACTGTATGAACAGAGTCTGTTTCAGTCTGGGGAACTCTGGTCTTAACTTAAAATTTCCATTGGATGTGGTATGCATCTTTTAATGACCAGTTTTAATGGTTGCATAAGAATACACAAACAATAAAAATAAAGTTCACCAAACACCCCTGCTTGTTGTTGAACAAATCCCAATCATTGATTATATCATTAAGTGATTCCACTGGCATACCCTGGATGCCATGTGCAGAGGAGTCCTTTGTTTATCTTTACAGGCACTATCCACAGAATCTGCAATTTCCTTGTGCTTAAGACATTCTGAAAGACCCACGTGAGTAGCAACATGAGCCAATGACCAATCAGGATGCTGTTCCAAACAGGAAATAAGGTCTTGGAGAACTTCTGAATTGTAGCATTTAGGAGAACTTTGATAAAATGGTGCTAGTCTTTTACAAAAATCTCTAAAAGATAACAAAAGCAAAGAATATTATAGCTCTTAACCTAGTAGAAGAATACCCTGTATCACCTTTTTTTTAAAGCAAAATTCCCATGCATGTCACAGCATCCTTATGGTCAATGTTTGAGATGATCCAACATTGTGGGAGGGGATTGCCTTCTAAAATCAGTTTTTGATTATTTGTCTTTCTAAACAAAATAGCATTTATCTGTGTGCAAATCAAAACAGTTCTGCATCTCAATGCTTGAACCATCTACTGTGGACCTTGGAAGTAAAAACCTTCCTAATCCAAAACAAATCAATAAGCCAGTTTTAAATTCTTCCCTCCAGCTTTATAGCTTTACGGCACCTTATACCTTACATTTCACAAGTGAATTGTCAATTCAGGCGCAAAAAATCTTTAAAAATTATCTGGTAAAACATCATGTTGTGAAACCAGTCCTTAATTTCATCGAATAGAGTAAATACGCACAAAAGCTACTTTGTAAACAGAAAAGCCATATTTTCATATGTTATAACTACGAATTTGATAATCAATAACACCTCACTAAACTCGGGTATTATTCAACGACATCCGTCCATTAACAACCTTAGCACCGCAATTTCACATTTATAATCGTTATATTAAAGTAAGATAGGATAATGTATAACTCCATACCTGAATTTTTTTCTAGCCTCTGTTTCTTCCGGTACTCTATAGAGACTGAAGCAGTGTGGTGAGTGTTTAGGGTTATAGAGTATGGCTTCAAAACGACATGATGTGACTCGATACAGTCGGAAAGATTCCTCTCCATTGACTTGCTCTTCCAACACAGAAGCATAATCGTAATGCGTCGAGATCGTTTCTTCTACGCGGCTGCTTGAAGTTGTGGTTCCCATGGCCAAATTAGAAGGATTTCAAATGTAAATATTGTCCGCAAACTCGCGGTTCTAAGGAACACTTTCGCTTTGTAAGTATGTGTAAATATCATTACGTCAGCACCCGACCCAGGTCACGTTCAGCTGTGACATTAAAAATTCTAAAGTCACGCAAATTTTCTGCTGGTGACTGATTCATGATTCGTGTTTACAGGGTCGATGAGTAAGGCTCCATTCAGTTTCGTTTTACCAGAAGCCACTATCGATAACGGCTTCCCACTTTTAAAGACTGGGCGATGTGAGACAAGATCTCATTAGAATTCATTACTAATCATAGAGATCCAACTACATTATACGTGCATGCGCAAAGTACCCACACCACGGCCAAAAAGATAAACTTGAATATAACACACAGACACCTTTAAGAAAGACTATGTCGATGTTGTTTAGTTGATGAGTTGACATAAATTTTATCCCCAAGGATACGGATGAAAATTGAATCAACTTGGTTTTAAGCGGTACCTGCAGGAAGTATAATTACATGTCAGTGGTACGAATAGTTTTAATGTTTCAGTTGCGCAATCCTTTTAGTGCCATCTTAACTATACGTGTTACCGCTGCCCATAATCAGTGAGCAAAAATAAATACATTATTTTAAAAAGAATCACAAACTGATTAAACTGATATGAGTGAGTGGCGAATCTGAGAAACGCACGCGGTAGCAGAAGAGTAAATGTGAAATCAATAAACTGCACGAGTGGAGAGGGGTCAGTACAGAGGGGTCAGTGGAGAGGGGTCAGTGCAGTGTTAAAAAATAGGTCCGCAATGCGTACTTGTGTGGGATTTCATTGACAAAGTGTTTGCAAGGGGTTTTTGAGCGGAAGCAAACCTGTCGCTCACCGTGAGTCAACTGTACTACAGGGGTGATATTAGGCCTGGAATCAACAGCCTGAATAGTAATTTTTGTGCGTGAATTATTTGAACAAATACAGATTCACAGGAGAGATCTGGGGTATTAACTTATACTTTTATCAAGCAATATGCCTTTCCCTCCCTCCCTGGAAGCTTTTTGGCGTGTTTTTGAACGTTTGGTAATCGTCTTCAACAAATAAATTACCTCTTGGTGGCTTAGGCTATTTATTTGTTTATACGGCAATACTGCAAATACTTGGAGCAGTAAATATTTTCGTAACAGTCATTGAAAAAAAATTGAAAAAATTTCTGCTACTACTGTTTAACTCGTGGATATACGATAGCGGAGAAACGAGTTCTTGTGGGCGCTCTGCGATATGCAAATTAGCGTGGACTCTTCGTAATTAGTCGTAATTAGTCGGCTTCGAACTCGAGATCTATCCTTCCGAAGAAGTAAGTCCAAAGTCCTGGCGCTATTATGATTGCACTGATCGTTGCGATATTTATTGTCTTTACAGGCCTGTTTCGACATTTACTATATTGAAATGGACTTCAAATGTTTCAGACTAGTGCTATGATCAACTTAAAAACCAAATTTGAAGGGTCTTCGAATCGTCCATGCGCTAAACATAACGAGGACCAGCGAGAATCACGAAGACTTTGTGAGTGACAGCAAGCTGTTGACACAGAAATTCCCACGGAAACATGTACCCATGACATTAAAGAAAATGGTAATTTGCAGCATTATTTCTTTCTACGCCAATTTGGGTCTTTCCGTTGTAATCGTTTCGTTTTGTTATTCTTCTATGCAAACGTGACTGTTTTGATGGTAAGAATGAAAGATGATCGCTTTCAAGAAGTCGTTGCCGAGCACGTGACTATAATCTGGCCGGTGTTGTTCTGATCACTTGACGATCTTTTTCGCTGAAAATACAGGACGACTTCCTATTTCAAGGAATGCTTTTCCAATTAATTTCTATCGCATCGGTGTAAAAAAGTACAGGTATATGGGTGTTCTGAAAAACAAAAGGGAAATTCAAAACTACGAGAAATTGCGAGTAATCGGCCTCTTCTACTACACGCGGGTTTTTTTGGTGTAACATGCGTGTGTTTCCCATAAGTTACAAGCACTTTACGCACGTGGGAATGCTGCAATCACGAATTTTAGATTACGTGAAAGTCACGCATGTGGTTGTTTGCTCACTTCACTAATATGTTTGTTTGCTTGTTGTTGTTTTTTTTTTGGTATCCTGGAGTATTTCAGGAGGGGTTGCGGCAGACTTAACTGTGGAATAATTGTTTAATGCAGGGTTGTCAATAAAGGTTGCAGTTAGAAATTAGCCAAGATGCTAAAGGAGCTGCCTTGAAATTTCAAGACTGTGTGTTATGTAGTTTATTTTTGTCTTTTGTAAATGGTTGTTAAACTGGACAACTCTTAGAAAGATGACTTCAAACTTAATTTTAAAAGGCCAGTTCTGGTACCAAATGAATAAGCAGCATTTCCTTATTAATAGTTTTGCGAGTTTCTCATTACAAATTCCTCTGAAAAAAGGGAAACAACTCTTTTCATAACTATTTACTGCTTTCTTTTGTTGCTCTCTTAACTTAAAAACAATGTACATCATGATAAAGTAATTTGTTGGAGGACACCGTGAAATGAGGCCCAAACAGCTTTATGATCTGTGAAATATGTTGCTAAAACATCTGCTTGTATATCAATGTTAGATATATTTGTATATATATGATCAATTACTGTGTTGTTGTCAGTTGTATAAGTTGATATGAACTGTTTGTAATGGTTACCCCTCACTAGTAAATTATACAAAGGTCTTCTGTCTGTTTCAACAAGCCAATTTATATTAAAGTCTCCAGTAATGTTATTGTTGTCTGGTGAAATGTTAATTAATACCTCAGTTATTGCTTCATAAAGTTGTCTTACGGGCACGTTTGGGGAGTGATATATCCCTATGATTATTCAATCCTAAAGACTTGCTAACTTAATTACTGTTATTTCAACACCATGTATATTGTGACAATAGGGGTATCCAGGTAAGTATGGGATTTTACTGTACACAGCTGCACCACCATAAGACCTTGATCCATTGCTGGAATTAAGGTTATCATTATGGAAGAGAACATAACCAGCAATGTCATACATGTCATTATTATCTTGAGAATTAAATCTTGTTTCTGTGAAAATATTGATATCAGCACTTAGATAAATTAAGTCTTTACGTATATCTTCTATGTGTTTGTGAAGAGACCTTACATTAAGATGACACAGTTTAAGAAGGGAAAATGTTATGTCATGGAGAGGGGAGATGCAAAGCTTAAGTTTTGCAGTTGTTCTTAATCTCTCCATCTGGATTAACAGCAATCTTGCTTTCACACAAATCAGAAATATATAGGCCTTCTAAAGCAGTCACTCTACTGAGTCCCACATAATGTATGTGTGGAATAGTATTTCTGGTACTAAAATCCACAACAATTCTACTGTCAGTATCACCTTGTGACCTGTGAATTGTTTTTGCTGCTGCGGGACGCAGTGGAAATTGTTTTCTAACAACTTGTGCTGTTCTGTTTCTACCTACTGCAACTGTGTAGTCACAGGGTTTACTGGGGTCCATGTGTGTTCAATTCCTTGTACATACAAATGTCTTTTTTCATTCCTTGTTTTCTGAAACATCTGAGTGGTCAAATTGTACCCATACAATACCAGATGGTTTGGTTTGTTGATGTAACTGAACTAGTTTAACAACATTTCCAGCACCATTTGTCATGCCATCTTCGGTTCGTACATTCATGACAAGGTGTGTTCTTTCACCCTCAGCAAGACAAAGGGTTGAGGCTAACTGTTTTGTTTTTCTTGGATCATTGGGTATTTGTCTTAGTATTTTGTTTCTTAGCTCTGGAGAGATAGCTCCAATAACACTATCTAGAGCATTTATTGTGAATTTGTTTCCTGTGGCTGCATTATGGGCCCTTTGATTAAATTCATCTACTTTAGCATTCTGTATAAATAAGTGAGGTGCATCTATTGGGTTGTTGATGTCTTCTTGTATAGCTCTCTTTAAGTTTTGCAATGTCAGCTACTGTGTGTTTACCTTTACGCAACCTATTAAGTAATTCCAAAAACAATTTGCTGTCTCTTTGACCCATGATTTACCTTCAAACATTTTAAAGTGTTTTGCCATAAACTGGGAGAAAGAACAACATAAATCTACATTTTTGAGGTCTTTGATAATATAAGCATCCATAACAGATTCTAATTGGAATAAGTCACCAATAGCAATTATGCTCACACCTCCAAAATCCTCTCTACAGCCATTTATATCTTTAAGCCCATTGTTTAGCTGTATTGCAAATTACCATTACCATTTCCTACCATTGAGATTTCATCAACAAAAATCAATTGACTTCTCAAAATGTTTAGTCTACTTGAATCAAGCTGTTTGTAATGTCTCAGTGATTGATTGGCAGGAATGGCCAGAGTGCTATGAAGAGTGTTACCCTTAAGCTTTACCAGTTGGAGCTAATAGTATAACTTTGATCTGATGAAAATCATCACCTGCTCTAGTGTTATAATACTTAAGCACTGCCTGATACAAATCTTTTGTTAAATGCGATTTGCCAACACCAGCCCCTCCACTGAGGAAGCAGTAGAAAGGGGTTTCTGAGGTTTTAATCTGATGTAAAATGTGATAAAAAATTCCTTTTTGCTCTTTATCGGGTGTCTGGACCATTTGACGAAAATCGAAATCAGGTAATTCATTCAATATCAGTGGTTCATTATTCAGCGATGTTGATGGAATGTTGAGATCATCAGAGAGGTCATAGTTTTCACTTAAATCAGGATGTAAATCTTCATGAGATCCAATCCTTGAACAGAATTGGTCAATGGAGATCCCTATATTTACTTGTGTGCTTGAGCGAGCAACAACAACAATCCAACTAACTAGAAACTCAGTTTATTAAAATAGATAACACTCTTGACAGTTCAAGGCAAACAATAGTTTCTTTCAGTTTGTGACACTTTGAGACACTCGTGAGACATTTTGAGACACTCGTGAGACACTTTGAGACACTTTGAGACACCCTGAGACTCTTTGAAGCGCAACCCGCACAAATACATTCAAGCCGACAAATGTTGGCTTGCGAAAGTACAATGACTCCTTTCAATCTGGCACAACCCGCACCGAAGGTCCAAGCCGATAAATGTTGGCTTGTGAAAGCGTAAAAGCTCCTGTGCAACCTGCACTGAACACAAGCCGCGTTTCAGCGTGTTGGCTTACGTGAAAAAATCTTCTGTTATAGACACCTGAAGAAATAACGAAACAAACGCCTCAGATTATGAAAGAAAGAACACAAACCAGGTGTACAAACGTAATCGCCTTTCGTGAGAAGCTCCCACAACAAAATTGAAAAGTTAAAGTACGCAAAGAACCCGTGAAAATATGAAATGACTTATCCTTACCTTGGAAACGAAAATCCCCAAGAAACAAATATGAAATTCCGAATAAGTTCTCCAAAACCCAACGACTGAGAAGAGAAACGGCCGCCGTACAATACACTATGAAAAAACGCTGACTGGAATCCAGTCTTCACGGCTCACTGAACGCAAATAGAAACCACGTGACAAGCACTTCTCTCTCGTGGACAAATAAATAAAGAAAGAAAGAAATAAAGAAATAAATTTCGCGGGCCTTGACTAAGTGTGGGAAATCCCACACAAAAATTGGAATTTATTCTGCAGCCGGTAAGAGCTTTTATTTACCGTTGACTCACGAGCTATAATTATCCAGTAAATATGCAAATATAATTTTTGTAAGCACAATCTGAAAAGGAACTGAACCCAATCAACGTCGGTCCGAGATCTTAGTCTCTCCTTGACTCGTTTCTATTAAAAAACCACTGTCTGCGTACTAAAGAAACAAAAAAATGCCTATCTAGTACGTTGAAGGGTGATATTCGAGGAAATACTTCGTGTGCGAAAGGAAAACGCCGTAAATTCAGTTGTAACTTTTTCCCCTGGTGTTGAGTAACTGAAGCCATGACAAATTCGTTGTGCAGATTATTTCGATACTCTCAGCCGTCAAGTTCTGAAGTTGATGATCTCTTCTGGTCGTACATCGCTAATTCCATTTTTATATTTTCTTCCGTTTCCATCGTCATGATGAACAATGCAACTGCCAAAGCCATTGAAAACATTGCTGCTGAGTCTCACTGTTTCTGATCTTTGCGTTGGTTTAGTGCTTCAGCCATTATTTATCGCTTTCCTGGTTATGTGGTTACGACGTCAAACTCCAAACTGCGTAATGTACTCTGTTTTTACAATGATCATGACTGGTTTCACTGCTTCATTATTTTTATTTGTCACAGCAATAACTGTCGACGGATCCCTGGCTGCTCATCTTCATCTCAGATACCAGGAACTTGTGACTCACAAACGAGTTGTTATTGTGGTTATCTTAATATGAGTTTTTAGTATTCTGTTACCATTGTTGGCCTTTTGGAGTCTATGAAATGTTACTTTAGGGCTACATACTGTTATTCAGTTTACTTGCCTTGGGGCCGTAACAATTTGTTATTATAAAATTTATCGAGCAGTAAGATGCCACTCGAATCAAATCCACGCCTTGAAAATTCACCAAGTTGCACCAAATGGCCAATCGATTAGTGTTAACAGCCTTCGAAAGTCTGCCATCAGTGCATTTTACGTGTACCTTGTATTTATGGTTTGTTATTTACCGCAGAACTGTTCATTTGTAGCAGCAATTTTCTATGGACCTTTGACCGCAATAAAACGTGTGCTAGTGTTCACTTGGACTTTGACATTTGTTAATTCTTTTCTGAATCCCATTGTTTACTGCTGGAAGATGAGGAACATAAGACGAGCTGTTTTTATTGTTCTGTGGAGAATATTCAGTGTAAGAAAGGAGACAGTGGAAAGCTGCAGTTATGTAAGCCGCACTGCAAGTTATGCGAACTAATTGGAAGGAAAGTTTAAGCCATTCAGGTCGTTTAACTTTTGCTACAAAACCTACCGATCACATGAGTTTATAATCTCTTGCTGATCAATAATCGTCAGAATCAAGGAGGGGCAGACCAAAATTTTGCTAACGATTCTCGGAAATATCACGGAAAATAAAAACCCTGGTCGTATTTCAAATGTGTATGGGGTTGTCTTTAAAACTATTACTGCTGAGTCTTGCAGTTTCTGATCTTTGCGTCAGTTCACTTGAGCTGCCATGGTTTATTGCCTTACTCACCACTGCTAAGGAGAGTTTCCGTTGCAACAATTACATGGCGTTTATCGTTTGGTTATTATCTGAAACCTCTTTTCTTGGTGTTCTTGCCATCATTGGTGGACAGATTCTTAGCTGTGCACTTTCATCTCGGATATCAGGAACTTGTGACTCACAAGCGCACGTGACTCACACTTGTTGCTGTAGTAATCTCCATTTGGATGATTAGTGCAGTTCTTTCAGTGCTCGATCTGTGGGTTACTAGCGTCATTCCACACTTTATTGTCGCTATTTTTATGACTTTTTGTTTTATTTTTACAGCATTTTTTTTACTGTAGGATTTATATTGCTGTTCGACGTCACAAGAGCCAAATTCAAGCCCTACAGGTTCGACAGGGAGCGTAAAATTATGGGATACAAAACTTCAACCGGCGGAAAAAACTGCAGTAAGTACTTTTTATGTATATGTTGTCTTTTTGGTTTGTTATTTGCCAGTGTATTGCGTATATATTCCTATATGGTTAGCGACAAACAAAACTCAACACTAGTGAATCCCGAACTTTATGTACGGAGTCTGGTGTTTTTTAACTCGTTTCTCAATCCTGTCATTTACTGCTGGAAGATGAGACACATTCGAAATGAAATACAGAACATAATGCGACTTAATTGTAGTCTCTAGGGATTTAAAAGCTATGTGATTAGTAAAAAATCTTATTACTTGACAATTTTTGTGCACAACTGAGTATTATTGTTTTTTACAGCTGGTGATGATGTCTTTTGAAGCACTTGGGATAAACTCGAAAATACAACACCAATGTGAAGATGCTATAAGTTTTCTCGAAGGAAACCTACGTTGGATATACATTTTTGTGTAACTCAGTGTCTTATAATCAGAATTCAATACAAGATTACAATGGTTATATCGCAAAAGGTGAAAAAGTATTTTAGATGAAGTCAAGTTCTATTGGCCGGTAGAGAACACGTTTTGTACAATATATTCAAAGACATAAGAGTGGATGTGTATCAGCTAAAGGGTGATCACAACTGAGAACAAAACAACTCTTAGGTTTGCTTCTATTTCTTGACTAGTCCTGGCCAAATGCTGAAAACTATTTTTGTTGAATCATGCAACTTTTATTAGACGCATTAGTGGAAAAATTTAGTGACCTCTGTTTATGTCTCTTTGTTTGATTTATTTACACATACAAAGTAATGTTACAAAGCTGAACACATACTCAGTTTACAATATGGAGCAAACAGAAAAGACTGCCCACTCCAATTTTTATGCTTTCTACCAATCTCAATACAGTGAGCTTTGTAGAAAATAACCATATTTCATTTACATTATCATTGCTCATAAGCATTACATTTTTAACCGAGTGTAATGTTATTAACTTTATGGAAGAGAAAACTAACTACTTCCCTATTAACGGCTGACTGAATCAGTAATGAGTGATTCTTATTGCAAGAAGTAGACTTTTTACATATCACTGGTAGATCGAGCCACCTGTGACGAAATATTTATTGATTTGATGGCAGGGACAAAAAAAAAATGTCTATGACAGACAGATGGATGTATGAGAAGACAATCAATCGAAACTGATCGAAAGGCGTTTTCATTTATTCACACTAATACGTCTGTTTAATAACTTAACTTATGCAATATCTTTTAACTTTCCTAAAAATGATAATTAAATATGACTCGTAAAATCACCGATAGGATATGGTGAGCTATACCCTTGTACCCAGACCTTCCACGGCCAAGCGGCTGCACACGATCTGAGCTACTCAGGTTCCCAACATCGAATTGCAATAAAAAACACTGAATGGTTTTGCAGCTGTGGCACAAATTTTGTTTGAAATTATATGATTAAAGCAAAAGAACTCTCAGCGAACGAAGACTTGCCAGAAACTTCCAGGTATGGCTGCACCGCCCTTGTCGTCGCAGTCAAACTTGCCTGAGTGGTGGTAAAGAGACCAACGTAATGCACTGTACTCAAAGATAGGGAAGTCAATCAATCTTGTTTGGAACCTTCCTCTCCCCCATTTGCCAACATAGAAGATATCATTATTTCCTTTACCCCACCTGTGGCATGACTGAGCTAATTTGGAGTTGTCATCATCCAATCTTATGAATGAACCACAGGCATCAGGTTGGACATTTGTCTGACCGCTGAAGTACTGGACTACAGCTTCACCAGTGCTGTTGAGAGCTGTGACCAGGTTAAGCGTTCGAACCCCAGGTTTACTGCAATAGAACCTCAACTGAGTGAAATTCGTGAACTCTTTTAGTTCTTTCATGGCATTCAAGGTGAGTGCCATCCTCTCGGTGTAATATTCGGATATTTTACGGTAAGATCCTTCAAGTTTGACTCCATCTTCAGCAGTTGAACCGGTAATCATATAGTTAGAAACAAGAAGCCAACCTCCTGAAACAGAAGTGTCAGGGGACCGTTAACAAAATCAGCCTAGTAAAGCTCAGAAAACTATTGCAAAGAAATTGCATCAAATATACCAAAGTTTTATGAAAGTATTTTCAACTGAGCACTACAAGGAATAAAAATATAAGAAGAGTATCGGCTATGTAGCACATCACCACTTTCAATCACCACACAAAAACATCACATACCACCATCAGTAGTCATATCGCAGTACACAAGTAAAGGCTGTTCATTTCTCTCGGGATCAATCCAGTAAACACCTTTTCCTCCGGAGCCACCAGATTCTAAAATGTGCCTACAAGAATGGCCAGGATGCTGATGATGCCAACCGATTAAATCTGAAAGAGAGAAAACAGGGATGAATCTTCTTGAGTTTTTTTCTTTGTCAGCTTTGATGTAAAAGTTTCTCCATATTTCCCTCTAATGCTATGTCTTTGTTCTTACGTGCGACGCGGGCCCTTTTTTCAGTCATTATCGGGAATTTGAATTTGACTTTCTAAAATTTGAATCAAGTCTGAATTGGTTGTTAAGAAACTTTTTCCTTCATCCAGAAGCTTCTTTTTGATTTGGGTATAACCATCTCGTTGCTCTACGTTTTTTTAATATCGATCGAAAAGAGTTTTTTAAAGAACATAGCTTAGACCATCGAATCAACATCAGAATAAACCTTTATCGTTTACTTTTTTTATCATCGTCATGAACTCATGATAATCATCTTAAATTCATCGTCATAATCATCAAACACTTACAGCCGTCATCTGATATGTCACAAAGGACTTTTAGTGGATTTCCATCATTTTCGGGATCGATCCAATATTCTCCTTTTCCTTTTGAGTCTTCAGCGTCCACAATGTGTTTGCATGAAATAGCAGGTCTTGACGAAAACCAACCTCGTATATCTAAGTTTAAGATAAAACACTTTTTCCAAGAGAAAACCTTCCTAGCGGAACACTTGACCAATCGCTATGATGATGTTGAGTATTACCCCAACCATGACTACCAATCAAAAACCGGAATTATTGCCATGAGTGTTTCTCTTGAATTTGATTATATGATGAACTTCAATCCCTTAACCTCCAAATTTGCAAAGAGCAGAAAACTGGTTGACTAACAAAAATTTCTATTGTATTTTTTCTTTCTTTTATAATATGCATCAATCAGTCTTTTTAATGCCTCCTAGGGTAAGGGAAAATATATGTATGCATATATAAACAAAGCTACCTTCGTTTTCAAGCACAATATGGTAACTCCTTGAACTGCCTAATGACCATAATGGAATTTGTCAGGTACCTTTGCCGTAATACGTTGAGCTCACAGTACCCTTTAGGTTATTTGGACTCGACTGCCACGTAAGGTTGCTGAGCTGACATTTTCCGTCAGAGAAAATGTTACATGATAAACACCCTTCGGTTGTCAGACAACGAAGTCCACATTCAAATTCATCAGCAAAAAAGGTCTCAGTGACGTGTCCAACCAGTTTAAATCCTGAGAAATAAGATTTCTTTTTTGTTAGTTCATGCGAAAAGTTAGTTCAGGAGGCCTTCCCCACAAGCCCGGTGGCTTCCTGGGTCTCTTCGCCTTCTATAAATTATAATTCTGTAAAAAAAAATTTTTGTATAGTTAAAAAGGCAAATAAATGATGATGATGATGATGATGATGATGAAAAGGTTGTTCTGTTTTGGCATTGCATTCCATAAACAAGAATACTGCTAAAAACGAACTTTATCCCGATGGAAAAAAAAATCTCATGTTACTCAGCAGCTTGATAGTCTCATCCTTAACCGTACTTTGGGAACGCATGCAACCCTTCTCCCCCGTCCCCTCCACATGAACGGCTTATAAGAAGAATAACAAACAACTAGCCCTCTTCCTATTTCATTTGTTTTGTTTCTCTTGTTTGTCTGCTTGCTTCTATTTTATTTATTTATTTATTTCTAAGCGATATTAATGCAAGCGGCCCACTTCAGCTTAAAGCTGGTTTGAATGGGGGCCTGCTTAGGACATATTAAGTAAAGCAAAATCTGTTTAGAAATATAAAATACAAAGGGAGTTCATGACACAAATTAAAATTTACTCATAAGATATACAATATACGTTACATAACGAAGAATATTACATTAATCAAATAGGTGAAATTGAGAAGTTTCTTAAAATTAGGCGGTGAGGTTATGTTTCGTGGTTTATTAGTCAGAGTATTCCACGCCTTTGCCCCTTTGTAGCGAAAGGAACCTTGATATTTAGATGTTTTAGCCAGAGATAATCGCAACAGGTCTCTATATCTGGTATTGTAGGTATGATATGGGCGGGAAAAACTAAATTCGTTCAAAAGATAGGCAGGCGCGAGACCATGTAGGTGTTTAAAGACTTGTAGGCAAGTGTGATATTTCCTACGATTTTCTAAGGAAGGCCAGCTAAAAGTACTGCCTGTACTTTCCACTTAACGCTCTTTGATGATACGAGCTTCTCGCAGTTGCAATTTGTCCAGGTGGTCCCGATTTGTTTTACCGCAGCCTTCTCAGACTACACAGCAGTAGTCGAACAGTGAAGGTATCATGGAGTCATTGAGTGTGATACAGGCCTCTTGAGGAATGACTTTGCGAACTTTCCAAAGCATTTCCAGCCTAGCAGATATTTTGGAGGCAATATGCTTGACTTTTATTTGTTTATGTGTTTGTTATATTAGCGGTATGAAAGCATGTATTGGGCAAAATAGACCCATCTCGCACGTTTAGCCAATCAAAGCAAGGAACTCGTCTTGTCTTATTCACTTAGTTAGCCAGTCAGAGAACGGGATCCGTCTTATTTACACAATGAAGTAGCCATTCCTCGAAAGCTAGTGCAGTGCACCTTCTTCTCGTAGCCCTCGATTTCCAGTGCAGCGCACCTCCTTCTCGCCTCAAGGAAAATTTGAAAATAAATTAAAGGATACACCGCTGTATTGTTCGAAATATCATTAATATTTGGAAGTTGAACAACGGGGGAGCACGGAATGGAGTGTCTGTGAAAGGCTTGTATCTATTAAATTCTATCAAAACAAGCTTTTGTTATGAGACGAGAACAGGCTGTCATCTCGGTATTCACAAACAAAGAAGTTTCTAAATTGTTTACGTAAAACATCTGTGACGAACTCGAAGTTTCACAAGTTGAGGAAAAAAACCATAACAACAACTTCACCTGCAGTTTGATTACTTATTCAACTGGTTAAAAATGCTTTATCGTGAAATTTAAAACTTTGAGTCAAGGAAAATATCTCGTCTCTTAAAATATATGAAATATATTGAAATAAAAAGGATCCTAAATTGAGTGAGAGGTAGAAACTGTTCGTAGGTTTAAAATTTCTTTTGGATAGCTTTTAGTCAATTTTCAAAACTGTACTGAAGGATTTAAAATAAATAAATAAAAAAGATCCTAGAACAATCGAAGTTGGTAGCGTTACCTTCCAGTCTTTCGTAGATCTTCTCCTGTGTTATGGTGATCTCAAACCCGGTCGTGGCGACTGTGTGTGCAATAAACGCCTCAAACATCACACATGTGGTTGCAACCAATATCAATTGTATAATTTTCTTTATCATCTTAGCTTTTCACCCTAAGAAGAAAAACATTTTTTTTCACTGTTTGGAAATTCAGAAAACAGCAAAGTTCAAGGGGACTTATTTTACTCCCTGACATTCAACGAACAATTGATGACCAAAGCTCGACAAGAGCTCCTTCGACGAAAAATTTTCCAGCTGTAACCTTAATGAAATATGAATACCCAGAAGTACGGCTGCAATATGCTTATCTACTGCAAAGAAACATTGAAAGTTTAATTTACATACTCTTCCTTTTTAAAAATTCGTGCTAGAAGTGAATTTCCAAATTAACGACAAAGTCAAGGATGTCAATTAATTTCTAGATGAAATTCCGACAATTTGATTGAACTGCTTTATCATGGAAATCAGTCTTGAAACAACGGATATTTAATGTCATAGTTTTCCAAAGACCTCTTTGATTCCAATAAATTATCTCCAAAATTTTGTTTTCCGCAGGTATGAAGGTGAAAGGTTTACTAGAAACCATATACTTTTTTTTCGAGTGTGTATCAATTCATTTGAGTCAAATGAAGCGTTTCTTATGAGATGGAAATAGTCTGCCATCCTAGTATCCACAAACAAACAAGTCTTAAATTATGTGTCAACTATCTGTGGATGACTCGAAGTTTCACGAGTTGATATATAAAGAAAGTGGAGTATTTCACAAACGGATTAATTACAAACAACACAACAAAATTCTTTCAATGAATTTTACAAATGCGGAATTGTGAGAGAAATATTTCCAAGACAAATTCCTCTTGGAATCCATGACTTATAATTAAAGTAAACGGGGTCTTATAACCGCGTATAGCTGAATAGTCTTAGATATTTTTAAGTCAATTTCTAGAGCTATACAGATAAGTGTAATATACGCCACATAAATCAGGGGTAAGAAGTGTTACCTTTCTGCATTTTGTATCTCATGTCCTTGGTTAGGATGACGTTAGAGGCTGCTGTTACGGCTATGTGCCCAGTTCACATCACAAACATAGAACGTTTGGAACCAGTGAAAACTGTATTATTCAACTACGTGAGAATTTTTGTCCGTTTCCCAGAGTGATCCCTAGGATCCAGCTGATAGCCTACTTTATCTATTGTCAGGCAAATTTTCAAGTAAACCAGAAAAGCCACGTTTTCCTTTTCTTTACACGGAAAAAGTTGTTGTTATTGTTGTTCACAGATAGCGCCTTTCTGTCATTTTCCGTGAGATTTTGGTAGACGAATGTGAGTTAAATAATAGATATACAGAAGGCAACAACCTGAGCTAAATAATTCCTGTTACTAATTGAATACACTTTTGTTTCAACAAAATTAAACCACATCTTTGAATATCAGAAAGGGCGACCAAACTTTTAAAAGTATTTGAAAACCTTAGGGAAAGTAAATCCCAAAAGACATACCAATGCATAGAGTCAGTCAAGCTAAAATAGATCAAGGATTTTACATGGCCGTGCGGACATACGAAATTTCTCTTGAGTATCTTTCCAGCTGAGTTTGTGAAACAAGCAATCGACTTCTACGTCATAGTTTGATGAAGCTATTACACGTGGAGCACGGTTTTGTAGTTTTTGTTCCTTGTTAGATAATGTTTTGCCACAATTACCCCATACTAGGCTGCAGTAATCAAAGTGAGATTGAACTAGTGAGTTGTATATATTGAATAGGGTGGATTGAGGCACAAATGGCTTAACTCGCTTTATGACTCCAATAACGGAAGCGATCTTTTACACCGTTTTTCAATGTGACATCAAGGATTTATTAAACAAATCTCATAACGGGCCTGAAATAATATCAGCACACTCACGAATCAACCCGGCAATGACCTATTTTTTTTTGCACTTTTGCAAGTTGTTACCAACTTGTGATTTGCTATCATCACTCATACGGACATTTGCTTGTTAGATATTTACACTCACAATCTCCATCACACGAACACATATCGACAGCCGTTAAATTCGTAGCGAACTCAACTTCAATTTGTACTTCAGGGAGTAATGGAAGTGGTACAAATGTAATGATAGAAGAAAAGCAGATGAGATATAGAAATCCACCTCAGAGTATCCTTCTCACTTTCATTTCATTCACTCCGCCATTTCCCGTGGGTGACCGCTTAATACAGGTTTGACTGTATATCCCTATGGAAAGGGTAATCAAATTGCATCTCGTTATTGAACAGTCAACTTTTTGTGATATGTTGTTGGAGTTCTGAAAAATCACTTTACAAGCTATGACAAAAATACGCAACCTACTACTATCACTGTTTTTTATTTTATTTTATTTTTTTATGTAGCTAATTAAGTGACTTTTAAGCCTAAAAACCAAGCAGATCGCAGTCGTCTTGAGAATTCAGAAAGCCTCATGATGTCTGTTAGAACTAACTGATTGATTCAGATTAATAGTTTAGCCTTCAATACATTGATTCAGATGAATTAAATAATTTCCGTGAATATAAAAGAAAATCCACTGATAACCATAGTATCATTTTATAGCGATCTCACGATATGGATAATCTTGATTCTCAAATTGGTAGTAATTTACGTAGAGAAATCATTATGACACGCCTGATATGTCTCACCTTCCAAAAACAAATAACAGGGTTTAAAGATGACTTTAAAAATACCCAAGTCATTGTGAAAGTAAGAACGTTCCGCATTCTCCACGAAGACTTTCCATTTTTTATCATTACGATAAAAGCACAAAGCTGTGGCAAATAACAAACTAAGAAAAGAAGGTACAAATAAAACAAACTAAGTGCGGATTTTCCGTACTTTGCAGTATTTGACATTGCACCATTCTGCGACAGCTGTTGTGTCTGAGCTTGAATCTGTCTGCTGTGGCGTCGCACGATGAAATAGATGTTCAAAAGCACCATAGAATTAAGTAGGATGCAGACTAACCCGAGTGAAACGAATGTAATGTGAACAGTTCTCGGTGGAAGTATAGCGAACATCAATGGATCATGTGGAACACAACAGCCAAACTAAGATCACTGCAACAGTGACACGTTTGGAAGTCACAAGTTCTTGGTACCGTAAATTCAGCCGTATTGCCAAGAATCCATCCACGCTTTCACATATGATGCTCAGAAACGAAGCTCCGGAAAAAATGTATACAACAACAACAAAGAAAGAGTAAGTAATACATGTTGCCTGCTGTTGTTGTAGCGTCATGACCATCAGTGCTACGTAAAAAGGCTGCACAAGCAAACCCACACCCACAGATCAGAAACAACAAGACTTGTCAGTAACATTCTCAAAGGTCCTAATAGTGACGAAGTTTTGGTTATTGCATAAATTGTCACAAAGTTCAGCATAACAGCAGTGTAAGATAAGAAGCTGTTCAAAACACAGTTAGTGACAATAGTCGAGTAAAATCCCTCAACATCATCGCCTGAGGATAAGAATCGCAGAAACGCGTCACACAGGAATTCCCTCATGACCCTCGTAAGATTTTTCACATAAAAAAAATGGCGCAGGTAAACCTATTTCCTTGTAAAGATTTCATTAAAGCCAGAGTAAATAGAATTTTCCCTTACCAAGGTTCATTATTGTGTTGATCTCCAGACAGACATACTTTTTTTCGTTATTGTATTGCTATTTGAATTAAAAGAAAAAATTTCTATTTGTTCTCTGATGCAATGTAAATTGAGCAAAAGCGCTATTTCAACAGCCGATGAAAACTGAAAATTGTGTCTAAGTACGAGTTAAAAAAAAAAAAGATTAAAAAAAACAGAAAAACTGCCTTAATTTAGCCTATAAAGAGGTAGAAGCGAGCGCAGTAAATTAAATGTTTATATTCCGTCATGAGTGATATTAATTTCTACCGACTTTTTCATATTAATAAAGCTTTTCGAAAGATGACGTTTCTTGTCAAATTGAAGATATCGTATGCAATCATTGAACAATGGTATACGAGACTACAATGAAACGTCAATTTTCCACACTTCAGATTTGGTATGAAAAATCACCTTGGAAATAGCCTACTTAATTTCTTAACTCAATTCTCTGAAAGTTCTTCCAAAAGTCAAAATAATCCAAAGAAACTCGTGTAGTTGTCGAAGTTTGACTTTTAAACCCAAATAAAAGGGCTAGAAAAACCTAATCTTCCCATGTAAACGTAATTTTTATTCAAAAAACACCAATACTTCATTCAGTTGACATAACCAGAGCTGTGCTTTAACTTACGCACACACATAAAATCTACTATTCATTCAGTAGTGCGAACGTTTCTAACAGTATCGTCGCGTGACATTGGCTACATCCGTTTTCAGTCAGTCACGAATATAACGACACGCAATAAAAATCACGCCAGAAGATACAAGAAAGCAAATTTCCCTTAATCACCAACGCAATCACCACCGCTATCAATCACAGAAAGAAAAATGGCTTCTTTCGTGACTTGGTCGTCGGTAAGAAGATGCGTAAATGTTGGTTGGTTGGTTGGTTCCAGTCTTCTCTTTGACTCAAGTCTCAACCAGCACTGAGTATTTTTATCAGCGTCTTCGTTGGAAAACTCCAGAAAGCTCGATCTTTGTGCCTGGAGTAAATAAGCGGTGGAAATGGATGCTAAAGAAAACTTAGAACACATTGCTTCATTTGACATGGAAAGTAAAGAGACATGGGCTCAAGACTGGGAAACCGACAACCCTGAATTTCACACTAACGAAGTGAACGCCATGTTGACAAAACATCATGACGAAGTTACGCGTGGAAGAAAAAATCTCCGAGTCCTGGTGCCTCTTTGTGGAAAGTCCTTGGACATGATCTGGTTAGCCGATCAAGGACACTCAGTTGTAGGTGTTGAACTGATCCGGAAGGGAATCGAGTTATTTTTTCGTGACAACAAGTTGACCTACAACGAGAAATCCGTGTCATTGTCTCCTGAGAATCAAGGTACCGTTTTCAAAAACAATGGAAAGAATATCACACTGTACGAGTGTAGTATCTTCGATTTCTCGGCCAAGATAGCTGGAGGTAAATTTGATTTTATCTGGGATCGCGGATCCATGACCGCAATCAACATGATGAGGGAAGGTCGACTCAAGCAGTACACAGACATCATGCTCAGCTGCCTCAAGCCAGATGGCCGTTATTTTCTTGAGTTCTTTGCTCCTGAGTCTCCAGAGAATACGCCGACGCAATTCAAGTTTCTTTCCGAGAAGAGTATAACTGAGAATTTTGGCGAAAGGTGCACCATTCGATACTTTGGGAAACAAGATATGCCGGCATGGTCGGGGTCTGCAGACGAAGGAGCTGTGGAACAGGAACCGGGTCCAAACAATCAAGATATGAAGATAGTGATGCATTATTATTTGATGGATTTCAAGTAACATTCCTTTCGATTTAAATTTCCTCTTCTGGGTTTCTCAGTGGAGTAACAACCTTTGTAATTTAGGAAATTTTCTCATTGTAAGATGGCGTGACTGCTGCCTTGTTTAATTCAACTATTATCATGCCTGAAACCAAGCTTTGCATATATTACTTTTCTCTCACGGCACTTGCATGGTTAGATCTTTGCCTTTCACCCTTTGCGATGTAACTTGAGTATTTAAGTTCCCTTAACCTTAATGTGGAGTATACCATAGTACTAACGCAGTTATGTAGCATTTTGATTCATTAATGAGCTGCTAAAAGTACTTACTTAGTTTAGCGTTGTTAAGTTTACATAAAATAGACATAAACGTCATGAATAAACATATTTTAAACCACAGCGTGAAATAAGCGTTGAGAACATGCCATGCTATCACGGTAACACCGATGTTGGAACGTGCAGTCTAATCTATACTAACGTGAATTGTTTAGGACGATTAAAAAAAAATTAATTAAAGAAATAACAGTAGTAAGTATGGAGGGAACAGAGCTCTTAACATAAAGAGCGGGATACCACTTTAAGAGTGTTTGGTCCACAAAATAAATGAAACCCAAAGAATAACATCAGTTCCGGCATGCTTCACATGCACCCACCGGCCTCCGCCTCCTTTCGTAACCCCTCCTCCCCTAACCATACCTTTTAATTTGTTGACTAGTTTCTCAAACGATATCCCTAACGGATGAGCTTGCACCCATTTTTTGCTTCTGCGTTTGAAGACAAAGGATCCAGCAAGGGAAAACTTCCAAACGTAGTTCTTGTTGAAACAGAATGTCTGAAGAATGTCAATGTCAATCAAACATAGGTGGTCTTTAGTTGGGTGAGTGATCTGTTTTCAACATCAACCTTTCCAGTTTTCTCAAACAAATTATTAAAGATTTCATTTAATTCCTCAGTTAATATCTTTGAACTCCTTTGATGAATAGTATTAGATGGTGGTAATCAGGTAATACGTTTCTACAAACCCACAATTCGCTGTACTCAGAGTTTTCTCGTATGTCCACAGCTAGAGGATGAAGCTTTTTTCCGGTAACATCGTCGGAATTCTCTCCGAAAATTTATTCATACTTTCCAGGCGAGGTTATCAAACAATCAAAACACTCAGATTCACTTCCCAACTTCTTTCTGTGGGATTGCACGAAAAGAATTCTTTGTCATATCCGCCGACTTCAATGAAAGTTGCTAACAAATTTGCGCAGGCAACTTACGTCCTGAAAAATTGATTGACAGGTGACAAAAGGCGATTCCACTGGTGCAACCTCTATTATAAAGGGCAAACAAAACACGCTCACAATAAAGTGTTTTCATAAGTGTTCGTTATCTTATAAAGAAAAGATGGAAGCAACAGCATGTGACACATTTTTATCAGGCGTTTTCAAAAGCCTCCACTATTCCTTTGAACAGTTTCGACGTGCTTACCAGAGAATTCATCAGCAAACTGAAAACCTGATTTCCTTTCCATAACAAACGTAACAAGCGAGATTTTTCTTCACCAACGAAGTGTCTTTATTCAGAAATATTGTACTACACTGAATGCCAAATGAGTACGTCATTCAATACAGAGAAGTAGCGTTAATAAAATTCTATTGGGGTGATTGCCTGAAAAGCTCATCGCTTTACGTCAGTTTTTCTTTATATTCTCAACTAAAGTGCTCTAGCATAAGAACTAATCTTGGATTTGATTAAGTGCAGATTACTCTTCGAAACTTCTTTCATCTTTAGGTCTCAAGATAAGGGTATGAATTACATTCATCGAGTTACACATTGCCAAAGCGAGTAAACGTGACTTGACCCCGCGCAGTAACAGTAACAGTGGAAGTAACAATAATAGCCAATTTAAGTTCAGAGGATCGGTCGACGTACCATGCCGAGGTGGTACACTTGAGTTTCAATTTTAGTCTGCACTTTTGAAAATTAAAGATGATTCAGGGCCGATAACCTGATTGACGTTATAAAACTGCAATATTGAATGTCTATGTTGACAAAAACAGGATTTAAAACTCCTGTTTAACCTGCGAAAATGATTGCCAGTTTTTTCAGTCTCTGACAGTTAATAGCATCATTCAAACCTAGGATTTCAGTTTCCATTAAGAATCACTGTCCATCCATACTTATCTGTTTTTAAGGCAGTGATTAAAATACCAAATCAAGCCACTACCCAATAGATCAGAGAAATTGAACTACTTGATGGTTCTGTTCATCCTTTGAGCACACGTGATCCTCAGAATGATCATGTTTAATTCTTGAATCATTTCACTTTCCTCAGAATAGTGTTCACGTGACTTCAAATAAACGAATTGACAGCCAGTCGGTGTTGTGACATTGAGTCACGTGATCAGTTCCAGGAGTCAGAGGAGCTGCTATCGTCCGAGTCATCACTAGATCCATCTCCTGTCGTGTCATCTTCATTATCATCCCCGCCAATGGTGATAGGAAAAGGTAGCTGGAAGCTGAATATCACAGAAAATAACTTGTAACAGGATGGAAACTACATTTGTGCCAATTCAAGTGAAGTGGAATGTCAATATAATTCTTAAAAGTTAGGTTTTCATTTCTATGATTCGTGAGATAACGAGGACCTAAAACTGATTTCATCAAGTGAACACCATAGAGCATCCTTCTTTAATATTCAAGATCAAATCTAGAAACAGCTGCATAATTAGAATAACTATACAACATATCAGTTGTGTTCAACAAAGTCACTGAGATAATATGGCGAAATCCTTCAAAAGCCAGGAGATCGCTGACTCACCTTACAGAGGAGTCTACCTTTGACTTCTCCTGTTGAGAAAAATGAAAATGTATGACTTGCTCAACTTTTATCAACATACAAAGTCTGAATACAGAACGGATTTCCGTACCTTTTTGGATTCATCCGCCTTCGGTTGTGGATTAGAGGCAGCCTTGATAAGGGCTTCAGAAGCCTTGTTTGTTTGTCCAATAGCAAGACCAATGAGACCAACCTTTTGCACGGCCTATGGCGAGTGAGACAACTAATGTGTAATTATTTACTACAGCTGTGTCCCTTTAAAAATTTTCAACGAAGTCACAAATTTATTTCTGAGCATTGCGTTAATTTCTCCAAACATCGATAAAATAAGACTGTAAATGAGGATTTCTAAGTGGTAAGCAACTCCCTTCCAAGAGTTTCGAGATAATAAAGTAATTTGTTAGTTATTGTATTTACTTTTAACCCTTTAACCCCTAAGAGTGACTAGCCTCTAATTTCTCCTCACAGTATCCCCCCTGAATCGAACATTAAATTCATGAGAATAATGGAAACGATCAACAAATACCGGAGCTTTTGATTATTAAGCAAACTCTCCTCGTAAGCACCTTGGGAAATATATAGAAAACAGTATGGAGAATGTGCATACTGATCTTAGGATGAAAAAGTTTAAAGCCGGTAACTTTTCTAATTATCTTTATTTACCTGTGAGAAGCATCGCTTCAAACTTTCATTTGTTGTAAAACCAACCACGAGGTCCTCAGCCGTGCCCCAGTCCTAATTGAGGAAAGTAAAATGTAAAATCAGTCAGAAAGTAAAGAACTTTGCAGAAAGAATATTTACAGTTATATAACCATATGTAGATTAAGAAATAATCAGTAAATTGTTACAGCGACCTGTGCGAGGTTTTCCACCATCAAAAAGAGTTCAGTGAGTCCTCGAAGTACAGGAGACACCAAAGTAGGAACTGATCCAGAACCTATTGATAGAAGAGGAACATCATTCAATGGCCAACACTGATTGGCTTAAAGGGATAAATACAAAAATACAACAGTTTGGAAAACAACACCGGGTTGATGCGTTACACGTCGAAAAGTAATATATTATACGTAATTAAAAGTTCTCTAGTCGTATAAGCTATTAGAAATAGGGTTAAAAAAGGTTTCTTAAAGAATTGGTACAAATAAGTGATTAATCAAAAAATTAAAAAGGCGTTGTGTATACCGACCTCCTTCCTTTTCCAACATGCTGGTATAAAGAGACCACAGGGGCCTCAACAAACTCAGGTCTGGCCGATCACTTGTCTCCATTGGAACTGAACACGACCCATCTCTCTCCAACACTTGTCTGCCATGGAAAAAAATTACGAACCACGGATATTACATAATCGTATCATCTGTTCATGCAGAGTTCTCAACTCTACAAGTAGTAACCTTATTTTTATTAACTGTTCTGTGATATTAAAATGAGTTGCTCCGTGTCTAAAGACCGATCTATGATACATGTCTTACCCTGACACGACTAACAGTAGTCGCAGCAGCAAGCCAGTCGCCATGAGACGCTGCTGACCAGTCTGGCAGCAGGCTACCGATACCAACCAAACCCATAACGTCTTGATTGGCAAGGACCTGGGAATGAACAAAATCAGCCCATCAGTGACAGAAATTCAATTCAATGATAAAAAAAAACCACCCATGTTAACATCAGTTTGCTTAAAGAGAATGAAAGCACATAAGGGGTTTGCTAGATGACAAAAATTTGGCTCCATCAAGAAATACCTGGCAACTTTGTTATCCAGTGACAGCATAGCATTCAGCATTGTAAAGCCAGTCTTGAATCTAAAAGAAAGCATAAACAAAACCCCTCTTAAGTTCAGACATACGTGAAAAAAGGAAAAAAAAACCTTTCATCCAATTATTCAATGGCCAGATAGCACTCTAGAACAGATGCATTTCTATTCAAAGTGCGAGTCACTCCTTGAGGTGTTGTTTTGCAATGTGTAAGTGCCGTTACCTTCCCAGTTGGCCGCCAGTGACTACAAATTTCCAGCCCCAGTCGTTGGTACTGCTGTCGGAAGTGAATATGTAATACAAAGTGTCACCTGAAACAAAACATAAAGTTTTAAAAATGTATTTATTTCTCATGTTCAGGATCGGATCATCTGTGTCTAGTCCATGATGCTTTACAAACCTGGTATTTCCAAATCAATCCATCGACTACTGGGACCAGAAAACACGTGTTTGTTTTGTTCATAGTCAGCTGAGGATGCAATCCGCAGTTCATCGCATCCATCCTCGGTGGAACATCTGAAAAGGCAAGAAAGGGAACAAAAATGACAAATTTGATTCACAATTTGATGGTTGTGCAATAATGAAACAAATTCACGTTGGATTTGACCAAAAATTAACTTATAAAAAGCTAAAGAACAATACATTAAGGTCACACACCTTGGATCAAACTTGACAAAGAGGGTAGCAGCGCCAGGAATGTGTACTTTTCCCTGTGTACGGAATAAGAAGAGGCGGCTGTAACTCGCCTTTGCTTAAACGCGAAAGAAACGTGGAAATATAGAAGTGTCTCGAGACACTAAGTCCATTAGTAGGGGACTTAGATGGGACTAGCAAAGAGCCTACTCACTAACTGACTGTCTCTCAAGGCCAAGCGCATCTCTGGGCAACGTGGAAAAAGCGCGTAAAAAAAAAAAACAACAAAAAAGGGCAGCAGATTTGTTTGTCACTTTCACATATCTGTAACATGTTGTATTAAGATTTGTTTTATC